CGCTCATTCTGTAAATATAAATTTATTAGTGGTATATCTGCAACATATTGAATAATTTTTTTCATTGAAATTCCACAAGATGTGGTTTCCCCCTTCCACACGTTTTACAGTCAGCTAAATTTCAGTTAAATAAATAAAAAACAAAAAGTATTCCGCTGGGGCCAATCCTCTTTGACAACTAGATCCAAAGTTCCGGACTCCTGGACAGATGTCTCCCTCTGGTGCTTCCCATTCTCCTCTTCACGATTTCTCCATAAATAATTAACACAAAATATAATTACTCCAGGATTTAATTCCGATTTCATCTCAATAGATTAAAGAAAAAATAATCTCTTGTGACAACAGAAGGTGAGACTTGAATAATCCAACAATTTCCTTTTTATTCCAATAATAAAATTGAATAATCCAACAATATCCTTTTAAACCACAGGTGTAATCAAGAATTAATTAAGTAATTACTCTCATGACTGTTTAATGACAATGAATCGAACTTATCGTCTGCTGCATCAGAGATTCGTGTCATTTCATCGTTGTTTGATTATTGGAAAGTCCAAGGTGCCATCGACAATCAGATACTGCTCCAGCCAAGGAAATCTTCAAGAAAATATTTGTAATATTGGAACAATTGGACATGTAGATCATGGAAAAACGACATTGACAGCGGCAATAACAAAAGTATTGTCTGAAGAACTCAAGAGTTGTAAATACGTACCCTTTGATGAGATTGATAAAGCACCAGAGGAAAAAGCTAGGGGTATCACAATAAATATTGCACATGTGGGTTATTCCACTAAATTAAGACGATATGCCCACACCGACTGCCCAGGTCATGCTGATTTCATCAAGAATATGATCAGTGGTGCATCCCAGATGGATGGAGCTATTTTATTAGTTGCTGCTGATGATGGAACCATGCCACAGACTCGAGAACATCTTTATTTAGCTAAACAACTCGGTGTCAATCACATTGTCGTTTTTATCAATAAGGTAATGTATTTAAATTAATAAAAAAAACAATAAAAATAATAAAATTCAATCGCAATACATGATTGAGGGGATAATCAGTCGTGAATACCTGTGGTGAATTAATTTTGAGATTAGAAATAGAATATTTGACATCAGAACGGAATTACGAGGCAAAATGGGCAGTCAGTCGTACATTAAATTCATTTAATTAACCAATAATTAAGTTCTAACTCCATACTGCTGGGTATTTGTTGTTATTCTCTTCGCGGAATATCCTGGAATGAACATTAATTCAATTAATTTTTCTCTGTAACATTTAAAAACTTCATCAGGAATTGATCCTAATTATAATCCTCAAGTTCAGTTGATTGATTTTGTTTATAAATTTTATTTGTCATTCAATTCTTATAATTTTAAATCCATTATTTATCAATCTGAACAATGAACACTGATCTAACAGTTTTCAGGCGGATCTGGTGGACGACGAGCTGTTGGACCTAGTGGAGATTGAGATCAGAGAATTATTAACAAATATTGGTTTCGATGGATGTGCATCACCGGTGGTCAGGGGCTCAGCACTGGCTGCACTTAATGGTGAAAGCCATGGGGTTCAATCCGTCAAGAGATTGATGGATGCTGTTGATAATTATGTGCCAACACCAATCAGGGATTATCAATCGCCATTTCTGCTGCCCATTGATAACGTCTTCAATGTTCCTGGAAGAGGAACTGTCGTTGTGGGCACTCTAAAACGAGGAATAATGAGGAAAAATGATGGGGCTGATCTACTGGGTTTCAATAATGACACTAAAACAAGTATTTCGGATATTCAGGTGCAAATAAAACTGAATGATTCATCAATTATTTTTTTAATTACCTGAGATTGAGTTATTCATTTGTATTTTATTTTTCAAATGCTCAGATTTTTAGGAAAAGTGTACCTCAAGCTCTGGCAGGGGAGAATATAGGAGTTTTATTAAGAAGTATTAAATACCAAAATGTCTGTCGTGGGATGATGCTCTGCCAGAGAAATTCTCTCGTCTCCAGTAATCATTTTGAGGCACAACTCTATCTCTTGGATTCCTCTGAGGGTGGGAGGCATCGACCACTTCCGGTAAGTTTTATTTATTCCGAAAATAACGAATTATTCTGTATTTTTATTTTTTTTTCTAGGCTAATGGACATTGCACACCGATTTATAGTGGAACGTGGACAGTACAGTGTAGATTTGACTTCCAATTGGAAGGGGAAAGCAAAATGTTAATGCCTGGGGAACAGTGTGCGACGAATTTGACGCTTGTGAAGAAAATGCCGATCGTTGAGGGACAATCTTTCACGATTCGGGAAAATAGAAGTACAATAGCTACTGGGATTATAACGAAAGCCTTGAAACCACTGAACATCGATAAAAAGAGATTAAATCTCATTGTTATACCTAGCATGAAGCAAATGAAGTCATAAAATTTGAAATATATGATTCTTTCTCCTATCTTCAAAGAACTCAAGTTCATTTGAATTTTATTCCATATTTCAATTGTTCAATTGCATCTACAGGAATTACATCACATTTTAACAAAATGAGGTAACAATCTCATCAAAATAATGAACGCATGTTTATCCTCGTGACTTTCACGTATTTAATACTAATTTCGATTTAAAATCCAATCTCGTTACTTAGATTTATATTCATGAAAAATTAGTGGCGAGAATGTTTTCACTAATAAACATACATCACTGATGATTCAATGTCTTCGATACTGAAGCCACCCTGTGGTACTTTGCAACGCTGTTTTCTTCGTCTTTTCTGTTTAATAACTATTTATTGGGTACAATTTTGTGGTAAACAAATTACGCGTTGAATGAAGCGAGAAAATCGGTGACGATCTTCTTGAGTTTAGCGTCGGACGCTTCGCTGATAACATTTTCCTTGGCAATTGTAGCTGTGAGATCCTTGTGGGATGTCCTGAAATCATAAATATTTCATTATTTACTGTTCACAATCACTATTTACAATTACTCGTTCAATTCTCCGCGGGATAGAGTACAGATTCGCTTCAAATCACCTGATGTGTGCCAGGAATTCCTTTTCGAAGGCGGTGATTTTTGTTGGGTCCATCTTGTCGAGATATCCACGGACACCGCAGTAAATTACAGCTACTTGCTCCTCAATAGCCATTGGTACTGCACAAAAACCACGAAAAAAAATCCATTATCAATAAATAATAATCAATAAATCTCCAATCTACTTTTATCATCACCAAAAATATTATTCCCCTCTAAAGTAATCAATTCCATCAATACCCCGATTTTTATATGGAAATCTTCGAGAAAAAGAAAAAAATTATTGACTTTATATTATTATTTCCTTGAATCATTAAGTTCAAGTGATTAATTAAATAGAATTACCGTATTGCCCTTGTTTGAGGAGTTCTGTGAGTCGAACACCTCGACTGAGCAGCTGTTGTGTGGCAGCATCCAGATCAGATCCAAACTGTGCAAAAGCAGCTACCTCTCGGTATTGGGCAAGCTCGAGTTTCATGGATCCAGCGACTTGTTTCATAGCTTTTGTCTGAGCAGCTGAACCGACACGTGATACAGAGAGACCGACATTGATAGCTGGACGGATACCCTTGTAGAAGAGCTCAGTCTCCAAGAATATTTGTCCATCAGTAATGGAGATGACATTGGTGGGAATGTAAGCAGAGACATCACCAGCTTGTGTCTCGATGATGGGAAGGGCAGTGAGAGAACCTCCACCAAGTGTCTGATTCATTTTAGCAGCACGTTCGAGAAGACGCGAGTGAAGATAGAATACATCACCAGGATAGGCTTCACGTCCTGGTGGTCGTCTCAGGAGGAGGGACATCTGGCGATAGGCAACAGCCTGTTTTGATAAATCGTCGTAGATGATTAAGGCGTGTTTGCCATTGTCTCGGAAAAATTCACCCATGGCGCAGCCAGAGTATGGAGCCAAATACTGCAGGGGTGCAGCATCTGATGCAGTTGCTGAGACGATGATTGTGTAATTTATGGCACCGCTGTCTGTCAATCTCTTCACGATTTGGGCGACTGTTGATCTCTTCTGACCAATGGCGACGTAGATGCAGTAGAGTTTTTTCTTTTCCTCACCAGCATCGTTGAAACGTTTCTGATTGATGATGGTGTCGATGGCCAGAGCAGTTTTTCCGGTCTGCCTGTCACCGATGATCAGCTCACGCTGGCCACGACCAATTGGCACCAGAGAGTCCACAGCTTTGATACCAGTCTGCATGGGCTCCCTAACCGATTCTCTGAGAAAAATAAAAGAATTAAATTGCACTCGGTCTAGAAAAATTATCATAAACAGAATAATTTGTACCTGGGGATAATACCGGGAGCTTTGGTACCAATACGGAATCTCTGTTTAGCACCCAGTGGCCCTTTACCGTCGATTGGATTTCCAAGGGCATCAACAACACGTCCAAGGAGTTCATCACCCACTGGCACGTCGACGATAGCACCGGTACGTTTCACAATGTCACCCTCCATTATGTGCCTGTCGTTACCGAATACGACAATACCAACGTTGTCAGGCTCCAAATTCAAGGCCATACCCTTGAGACCAGAGCTGAACTCCACCATCTCGTCGGCCTGGATATTCTTGAGACCATACACACGAGCGATACCATCTCCAATGCTCAGGACTCTGCCAGTCTCCTCGAGGTTAGCCTTGTAAAAATAAAAAATATAAAATGTATCGACAGGACGTTTTAATGGACTTTCAATAAATATATCGACGACTTTTTCAATACCTTTGGGGCTGATCCCAGGATACGCTCCTCCAGGATAGCAGATATCTCTGCGGATCTTCTGCTGCAGCTGACATGGTATTTGCGAACTGCTATTGCGCTGGCAGGCCAGTGAACCTGTGAAAATATAAATCGTTATAGAATTAGTCTGTATTACATAACTCATGTCGAACTCTGTTTATGTAATGATTTTAGGGAGTGCTGACAGGGATATTCTTGGATGTTCAGAAAGTATTTGAGAAAATGGAGGCATAATCGTAATTAATAGATCTTTGAGAAATCGAGAATTTGTGTCAAGAGGAGAAGAGGTGACCGGTTACTCCGAGAAAAATGTCGGCACCCATATCGAGGGGCAGTTATGTCGTGGAATAAAATCAATGGGAATTATCGTTTACCTGGGTTGTGGCATTTGGTAATAATTTAGCCACCGAGGCGACCAGACGTAGCGACAGTTGGGCCATGATTATTTTTAATTTATTCACCCGTATCACACCTACTGCGGATTTTTTCACAAAAGACGAGGAAATAATCCGATGTAATATCACACGCAGCAGCGGAAGACCCTTTACTCCCCACTCTAAAAAGAATCCACTCCTGCGCAGGTCAGTTGTAGCATTCTCTGCGCAGGAAGTAGGGGTCTCCCCGGAATTCAAATCTCATTTATTGAACGGATTCCCATTTACTCAGGATTTATTATCGTCACTTGGTGGATATTATATTCTACTAGACAAACTGTCAAATGTGAAATCAAAAAAATATTCTCGTTGTTTTTAATTTATTTATTTCTATGAAATGTAAGATAAACATTTAATAAAAAACTTGCAGTCATAAAATTCATTATAAAATTCGTTTAGAATTTTATTAGCTTTCGCAGGATTTTTTCATTCATTCCCAAAATTCGGATTTTCTGTGCTGATTCTATGAGATTTAAGGAAAAATTTTAGATTTTAAATAATTATTTTTATTTATCTAGGATCTATTTATCTGTTAAGGACTACCCGAGGGATCGTTTTTAGTTTATAATGTTTATAATTTTAGCTGTTGATTTATCAAGTCAAGGGAGTCATTCAAAATTTCTTTTTTTATTCTACTCTTGATTATATTTATATAATTTCTTTCAAATAATTTCTATAATTTCTCTTCTACTTCATCCTAACCTCAACCTTTATTCATCATCTTCTTTATTCAAACATTCTAACCTCAATTTTCCGTGGATAAATAAAATAGAGAGGAAATCTCGAGGCGGCGAATCCGCGGTTCGCTGCCATCCTTTAATTATTGCCTGCAGTCTACCTGTTATCTGTCATAAAAAAGAAGAAAAATGAAGTCCTTCGGCATGAAGATATCTCCCAGGTAATTTTTCCCTCATAATACCGTACGAGAACAACAAATAGATCTAAAAACCGAGAAAGACAGAAGGTACTACTAAAACTTAAATATTCATGTTGTCATCTGATTGTTATGTCTCTTCCTCAGGGGATTGATTCAGAGTACATTCCCAAGACTCCAATCAACAGCTGTCCAGGTGTCATCATCAGCTCCTGTGATAGAAATACCGATGAAAAAGGAACGAGGACCCACGGATATTCTTCGAGCCCTTGAGAGAACGATCTCACGTGATCCAACAGCACCCAAATACAAATACCACGATGATCCTTACTTAATTCCATACTCAAACCACCAGAAGAGGACATTCGCACTAGCCCAGGAATCCGGGAGGAAAACTGCGATGTGGATTCGTGCAGAACACGCCGATCTCTTTCAACACAGAGTCGCTGATCCAGTAATCGAGGCATTCCTACCGAAGACAGTCTACACAGACAAAGATAAAGTCTCTGAACAACTCCTGAATGACATCATAAAAAGTGGACAGAAATCAGATGCAATAGCTATTTATGAATTATTAGAAGAGGAAGTATCAGATGATACGAGACAGTCACTTCTGGAATTACTGTGTTTTTACAACAGCAACGAGAAATTTCCTGGGGAACTGCTCGAGGAGAAGTGGTTCAAGAGGAGTGAGAAGCCCCAAGTCTGGAAACATTGTCTTATCACGGATAAAATCTTTGAAACACTCAAGAAGAAAGAGAGTACAGCTGCCAAGGCTTACAATGCTATGATCTGTGGTCAGGCTAAATTCATGAAGGCTAATGCTGCTTGGACTCTCCTGGAAGAGGCTCAGAAGAAAGGCTATCCAATAGCTCTAGAAACCTACAACATATTGATCGGAGTTATTTCATATTTGAAAGATGGAACACGAGAGCGGCTGGCTGAATTGACTAATATTTATCGACTGATGAATAACGCCTTCATCACTCCGGACTCTGGGACACTGACTCAGTCAGTGAAACTAGCTGCAGCTATCCCAAGACATTTGTCTGCTGTGGAAATCTGTAAAGATATATTCACAGAGTTCAAGGACGCTGGGGTGGAGCCATCGCTGTCATCTTATTATTACGCTTTGACAATTTTTTATAAAAAAGCTGAAGGCAATAGTGCACCAAGTGCTCTTCTACGGGAAATAATTACAGAACTCGAAGGGAGAGGAGAGATTAAAATGATTGATTCAATGGACACATTTTTCTTTACGTTGGCGATGGAAATAGCTGCGACTTATCTCGAGGATCCATACGTTGCTGATAGAATCCACAAACTTCTCCTCAGTAATGACAACTACAAATTAATAGGAGATGGATTCAGCGAGAGTGTTTATTACCGTTTTTATCTGCAAGTTCACGTGAAAAATAATACTCTAGATGAGTTTATGAAGTTTTATTATGATCCCCTTGTTCCTCATCTTTACACTCCAGAGCCCAATATTATGAGGGAAATTCTTCAAGCCGTTGGTGCTAATGACCCTGAAATTGGTACTCCACTACTTCCGAGGTTGTGGACACATCTGGTGCAGTTTAATTACCTTGAGAGGAAGGATCTCGTCTCCAAGGCACTGCATTTGATGACGGGACACTGTGTACCACCAAAGGATTCCCCGATTCATCAGATGTACGCCGATGCTGCATGGGCTGTCTGGAATTTCGTTATGGTACCCTAATTTGTTTAATTGTTACAATTATCCTGTGTATTCAGAATTTATTTCATTGTTTCATTATTTATAATTAAGAGATTATATTTGATTAGTCAATTATTAATAGGAATTGGTTGGATAATTAATTAATTATTGATTTAACAGACGCAGAGAAGCAAGAGTATCCAGCGAATAAGTTGGACAGGACCGATTCTTGGGGATGTGGCTATTCTCTGTCTTCGTGCTGATGAGTATGATAAATGGACGAAAATTATTAATTTCATGTACACTGATCAGAATTCTATCGTCGGTCCACCGTCTTCAGATCAGATCAATGAGCTTTTTAATGCGTGTCTCCTCGGTGGTCATGTGCAATCTGCTTTGGTAAGTAAACAATAGAAATTCCGTTTTAATGTCTCGAAATTATTTAATTATTCGTTCAATTATCTTCAATTTTCTTCAGTCATCTGTGATAATTGGTTTTAAAAGCAGATCTGAAATTATATTGTGATAAGTATTCTTGGGGATTCTTTTGTAGAAGTTTTATTGACTTTTTATTTTTAGGATTTGACTCATTATTGCTCTGATATTGGCTTCGAGGATGTTCCATCGATGGCTTTGAAAATCTACAGGAATTTTTCTCTTGCGAATCACCAGATGAACAGATTGAAGGGCTTGGTGGACTTGGAAGTGTTCGAGAAGATCTCAGAGGATTCACAATAACGCATGGAACTAGAATAAAGAGTGAAAATCAGACAGAATGCCGAAAATATGTAATTGATACCCATTTTTCAATCGATTTATATTGAAACCCATGAGTTATTTACGGATGTTCTGTTTTCTGTCTCAAAAATACAAGAAAGTGATGGAATTTCTTTTTAAATTTCTCCAATCTATCCCAGACGAGCGAAACACCCGAGATTTTTCACCATCTCGAATCAAAGTTACGATTTTGGATGAATTAAAAAAATTCTGATCCAAATTGAAAAATTGAAAATTAAAAACTATTTATCGTTTCCCTCCTTAAAATTTGATTATTAACTTTTTAATTAATTTCTATTCTGAATCGCGTAATTTATTAATTCGAGATTAAACTACGGTATTTTATTGAGATCCATTTGTGATGAATTCACGACCGCCGATGGTTTGTCTCGTTTTCCCTTCATGAATTTGACCTGAAACCACCCAGAAAGCGAGATTTATAAACTATTATTAATATTTAATGGCGATGCATGCGGTATGCGTCTTTCTTCATGATATAATAGATCCAAAGTACCTCAAAGTATTCGACATAGGTATCAATGTCCTTGTCCCTTGGATACCCTCATTCACTCATTCATGAATTAACTGTCAACCGTTGGTGGGAGAGTTAAAAGGGGGCCGTCCCTAAAATACTCATTTCCTCCCATCACCAGTTATTTCTCCATCATAACATTGCCGACTGCTTATAAATCGAGTGCTGAAGAAATTATTCATCAAAATTTTCAGGGAATTATCATTTTAAAATCGAAAAATTTATTCAATTACGGAATTACTATAATGGATAATTCAGTTATCAGGAAGTCAACTCACAAATTGATCGGTGAAGTAATGAAGAAATATGAGCCGGACGTGGAGATTCTTCAGATGAATGAAGAGCCAGGAACTCGAAGAGGTGATAATTATACGTCGATGCTGTATCGTCTTCGTTTGAATGGACGAAAACGTCTGAAGTCTGGTGATTGTGTTCCCTGGGAGACAGCTATTATCTACAAAGTCCTTCCGGAGTCTCAAGCCCATCGAGATTATTATCAGAGTGAGCTGTTGTTCAAGAATGAAGTTGTTTTTTACAATCACGTGTGGCCGATATTCAAGGAGTTGCAGAAGGATGGGAGGGAAGTTTTTTTTGGTGTTGCTGAAGTTTATGTTGCCCAGTCTGATCTTATTGCTATGGAGGATCTGAAAAGGAAAGGGTATGTCATGGCTGATAGGAGGAAGGGCTTGGAGATGAATAGGTTGAAGCCTGTCCTCAAGGCTCTCGCAGGATTTCATGCACTGAGTCTCACTCTGAGGAATTTGAGGTGAGGAATTTCGGGGAATCCCTGAGAAATTCTAGGGTACGACCGCTAACATTTATTGCATGAAAATAATTTTTTAATTGTAATTAATAATAATTATTACGGTGGATCGAATGTGATTACAATAGGAGGCTTCAATGGTTTTTGATAATTCTGAAATCCAGTTTTAGGGAATATCTCATAATTGAAGGGAGATAGCGATTTTGTTGTAGATATATTTTTTGTAGGCCTCATGTTGATCTACAAAAAATGTTTCTGCGAAAAAATCACTGGGTTCCTTCAATTTCGAGATATCGGTGAATAATTGGATTCGATAAAAAGGTAGTTGTTTTATTTTACCACTTCGGTACTGATTTTTCAATTTATTATTTCAAGACCAGCGATTTTCGATCGCTTCAATGATCAATCGAATCCGCAAAGTATTCGAGAGGGATTTTTCCGAATTGAAAATGAAGAGTGGTACCGGCAGTATTATCGGAGTGCCTCTAAAAACGCAATTTCAATGGTTTCTGAGGCTCTACCACCGGAGCATGAAAGCAGAAGAGGTGATATTATGGAAAAATTGGAAGCATTTCTCCAGGAGGACGTTTTCTTCCGAAGAATGTGCGAGCTAGCAGCAACTCCTGGACCACTCACGGTTATTTGTCACGGAGACTGCTGGACCAATAATTTTTTATTCAGCGATCAAGCCACCGACGCTGAGGTGTTTCATTCTATAATCCACCCTTCAGTCATTAATTAATTAATAATAATTCATTAATTAATCATTAATTTAGTCTGTGAAAAATCGTCAATAACAAATGGCGTGTGACGTTTATTTTTATATATTTTAGCCAGTTTATCTCGTTGATTTCCAATTGATACGTATCGGTTCGTTGGCGTTGGATTTAGTCAATCTACTCTATGTTTGCACCTCTGCGGAAGTTCGACGGACCCAGATGACTTCTCTTTTACGTCATTATCATTCGAATTTAATGACTGCTTTACATACTCTGGATCCTGATAATAAAGACAGGGATCCTGCGATGATGTGGAGCTTGTGAGTATTTTTCTTCGTTCAATCAACGGTAGTCTTTTATTTTAAATCATTAGAAAAATTATTGTAATCATTATAATTACATAATCAGACGATTATGATAATGAGATAATAATTTGGTCGATTATTATTAAATTATTATTATTATCAGATTTCTTTCATAATTATCTAATGATGCAATTATAATTCAATTATAATGCATGAACTGTTTCAAATTATTATTGATTATTCAAATTTCGTAACTCTAATTATCGATGATAGAATTTTTTAATTAAAAATCAGATGTCAATTCATTTGATTATCAAAAACTTTCTAAAATGAAAATTTTTGCTTCAAGAGGATTATCTAGATAGATAAATTATTATTATTGATAATCGATTAATTAGGATTTGTTTGATTTTAGGTTGAATGATGAAATGCGGAGATACGCACGTTTTGGTTTGGGTGCCGCAATTGATATGATTCCAATAACTACGTGCGAGAGTGATGAGGCGCCAGATTTGTACAGAGAGGAGGGTGATAGTAATGAGGGTCATGAAGTTCGAGGACCACCACTTGGAGGGAATCAATGTGCCAGGCTCATGACTGACCTCGTTCTCGAATTCTTTCACAAATCCGATCTGTAATTTCCGCAATCGAATTGATTCAATCAAATCGTCATTCTAATTAGATCTATTCCAATTAGAATTCTCAAGTCATTGATTATCAGAAGACAATTCATTGCTGGATTATTAAAATCAATTTTTAAACTGTAGGAAATTATTATCAATTGGGGGAATTGCGTTCGTCCGGAAATTGATTTTTCCCGGTTAATTGTACGCTCGTGTATCTGCGCAAGTGCAGGCTTTTGAAAATAATAAATATCTAATGAACAATTGGGTCTGCAAAGATGAAACTCTTTTATTCTTTATCTACAAACGATTTTCTTGCGATTGGTGAAAATCATTTTCGTCTACAAATGAAAATTATGGATGGGGGAGTTACTTCATTATTTTCATTAATTAATTAAGAATCGATGTTTAATGATGTACAGTGGTCCTGCTATTGACTCTAACTAATGATCTAATAAATTCCCATTTCTGTGTTTATAATTCATTGAAAAGAATAAGTAAAAGTCGATATTATTGTTCACAGGTGAATCCTGATAATTTATTAAGTAAAGGGAATGACCGAGAAAAAATAAAAATCAATTGCAATTAAGAAATTCGTTGGTTTCTCTTTAATTGTCGAAGTTTGGAATATTCGGGAAAATTCAGAATATGTTTACAAGTAATTAATTTGATCTAAATTAACTGAAAAATTCGAGATTTATAAAAACTATTTTTTTTTTCATTTCATTCATTACCACTAAATAACTATCTTTGTATTCAATACTTGAAACTGGAAGAAATTAAGAAAGGAGGAAAAGAAAAATAGAAAAGAGTAGAACTTAAGGACTATCCATTAAATGCTAGACTTAACCCTCTGAGTCACAGGTAAATTCGAAGTTGGAAATTTTCAATAAATCATTTGTCACATTATGTACGTTTTGAAAAATACCTATAATGAAATCAATAATTGGACTAAAGCCGAAGAAATCCTTCTTCAAAATATCCTCCGATTACTACCTAACCTGCAGTATAAAATTGCATCGAAATTTCCAATTGAAGAAATGAAAGAATGACAAATAATCCTTAAAAATCCACAAAGAAAACTTTAATGAATTTCACCTTAACCGGACCCAATGCGCAGAGAAACATTATAAACTATTTAGAGTCCACCTACACTTTTTATAACTGAATTTGATAAGAGAATGAATGAAGGCTCTCATCATGATGTTGAAATGTCCGATGCCCGCGATATATTTTCCGTTTCTCTCTCGTCAAGTTATGCCTGCTGCGGTGGTGTATGAGGGGGTGGTTGTGGTTGTTGTGATTGTGGACTGGGTGGTTGTTGCTGAGCCTGTGGGCCCTGCCAGGGTGGATGCTGTGCCTGTTGTTGTTGATGCTGTTGCTCCTGCGCTAGCCTCTGGTGCGCCTGTTGTCTCGCCCTGAACTCAGCAGCTTTGAGCTGTTCCAAATGGAACTGCTGTCGCTCAGTAATCAGCTGTTGCCTCTGATACTCCAGTCCCTCCCTCTCCCTCTCCATCGTTGTCTCTAGCTCCTCAAAATGACGAAGCTTGATCTCCAGCTTCTTCATCTGAGTTTCCACCAACAGAGCAACCAGAGATTTAATCTTCCTCTCTTCCACAGCAGCGAGATGTTTAGCCTTGACAGCAGCAGCAGCAAGTGCAGCAGCAGCAGCTGACTGAAGCTGAGCATCCCTGACAACTTTATCCTTCTTCTCCTTAGCCTCAATCTCCTCAGGATTATCAACCTTTGCTTTAGCATCAGCCTCTACCTCCTTGGCATCAACATCCATCTTCTCCAATTGTTGTACATCAGTCTCAGTTCCTTCTTCCTTTTTAGCAACCACAGGAGCTGGTGAAGTATCAGCTTCTTTTGGTTTTTCAGATTCATCCTTTTTACCCTCAGGTGTGGCAACAGCTGGTGGAGAAGCTGAGGCAGCATTTGGTGCACTGCTGCTGTCCTCTGGTGGCTCCGGTGGTCCAGTACCAGCAATACCAGATTGTGCAAGCCCAGCTGCTGGATCGAATTTTCCATCGGTATTGGCACTAGCTTGAACATTCCTCAAGTGCTGATCAAGTAGAGCAGCTGGTACTTGATCCTTGATAGCTGCGAACTCCTCCATCGCAGCTTTCGCTGCACTAGCAGCAACCCTGGGATCTACAACCGAAGCTAAAAATGCAACAGTCGACATCACTGGATTACCAGCTTTGGAGAACGGAACTGGTTGATAAGCTAGAGGGCCTAGACCCTCAGGTCCACCCTCTTCGAGATAAGGATCTTCAATTGGCAGCCTCAAGAAGTGAAGAATGCATTCGTCCTGCGTTCTCGATCCCACGTGCTCACAAACTTTGTTCCAATCGTCCTTATGAAGCTCAAGACCTTCCAGAAGAAGAAGTGTCTCTTGTTCAGTCCAATCTCTTGTTGCACCAGCTGCCTGTTTATTTTTCAATACTGCTGGCTTACGCGCATACTGATCAATCTTCAATCCAAAGTTAGCCATCGCTCCAATGGCACCTTTCTCATCAGGTGTGATTATTGGCTTCTTCTCCAAATCAAGAAGAGTTTTAGCTGCTGATGGTTGTGGTGTTTTTGGTGGATTGGGATTGACTGGTGCCAGACCACTCGGTGTATCCGACAGAACATGAAAATGAGACGTTGGAGGTGGCCCCATGGGGGTCGGTCGAGATTCAGCATCAACTTGATAATTTATCAATCCCCACTGCTCCAAGAAAGCATGCACTCTCATAATAGCACAGACATCACCAGCTAAATTTCTCCTGCAAGCTGTCGATGTGATATACTCCGTGGGATTCAATCTGTAAGTGTCAATCATGAAATTTCTGTATGCTAGATAAATCTCAGGTGTTTTGGATTTATTTTTTCCATTAAAAAATTCAGCTAGTGCCCGTTTTTCGATGGTGTGAATCGAGTTGTAATCGAACCAAGCTGAGTAACTTGGAACAACGATGTGGTGGGTCTGCTCCGTGACATTATCCTCAGGCTCGTCTTTATTATCTCCACGTTCTTTACTGTGATCCCTCTCCTCACGATCCTGAGTGCTCTGTGATCCCTTGTCACAGTCAAGCGGTTCATCGAGATCAGCCATATTCCCTGATTTCAGAGGTTGCAACTCAGAGTCCTGTTTTTTATTGCCAGTTGTCATGTTTCCAGTGGTGCCACCTTGTCCAGAGACAGGGGGATTCGATGGATTAGCCACAACCTCGACAATTCGTGGTTCTGCTGGTGGATCCTCCATACCTTGGGTCAAATCCTCTTCCTCCTCTCCACCACCTCTGGTTTTCTTGGGGGTTGCCACTGTTGATGAGCCAGCTGCCAATCCTGGGGCACGATTGCTCTTTCGTTTTCCAATTTTAGGTGGTGGACTTGGTGAACGCTTTCGTTTAGGTTTTTTCGCTGATGATGGTGGATGCGATGGCTGAGACATCAAGTCCTCAACAGTAAGTCTGTACTTGTGGACCTTTTTCTGTCCACTGTCGTCAACCTCGTAATCCTCCTCATTCATCCACTCATTGTACTGATCCAAGTCTAGTGCCCACGTTGCTGTTACTCTGTAATTAGATTTCTGGGATGAAATACCAAAGCCACCCTCTGGAAATTCAATGGGAAGATCAAAGGTCGTCCAGGAGTCGTAGCTGTCTGGGAAGTAGTACCAGTGAAGTAAAACTGAACGATCACGACGCATCGTGGGACGGGCGTACTCTTCCTCTGTTGGATCCACTGCTGGATAGATTATGTGAGATGCTTCACCCTCGGTCTCGGCTATTGTACCCTGGTGACGACGCACTGAGTCCTTCACCTTGGCTGCTGTTGATTTTTCAACTTCTGGACGCACGTAGACACAGGGAATGCTCAGACAGCGATTCTCCAGAAGGGCACGCTCTGCCATTCTCATCATCTCCACGATACGGTCTAATCGAGACCCAGATTTTGGTACATTAAAGTCAAACTTTCGCCAGGTCTGCTCCGTTTTGAATTTGTAGGCTGTCGCCAAAATGTGGCAGAGCCCACCATTTGGTTTGAAATCCAAGAAACATTTCATCTGTGGAGGAGTCATTCATTAAATTGTCAGAATTTATCATTGTATCAATCATTCCATTTATTCTACCGAAAATTCTAAGATAAACAAATAATTTATAAAAAATAAACTAGCAACTCACTGGGAGTCTCGTTAACGGTGGTTTCGAAACATTTTTTCCAAGATAAGACTCTTGGAATTCGATCAGTTGAATCACAAGGGCTGCTAAACTTTTGTTCGTTGGTGGATCTGTAGCAACATACTGAAATAATAATAATTAATTAACAATCCAGATCTTCACCCCATATTCAGGATAAATTCCTATCCTCAGAGTTCCCCTGAATGCACACGAAATCCCCATTTCTCCTTTCTCATTAATCTAATTCATTCCCTACTTCAAAAAAATAATAAAAATAATAATAATCACTGGTAGGTACTGTTGTTATTTTATTTAACAATGTAACGGCTTAAATATTTGACGGGGAGAAGTTTACAGATTTTAACGGGAAGACTTGAGTTTAGAAAAATGAAACATCCGCCATTCCCGAGGAGTTCTGGTAGGAATTAGAGAATATTAGCAATAATATTGCGAATTTTGTGAGACGAGGATGAGTCTGAGTGTTCGAAAACCAAATCAGAAGCTAAAGTGAAGGGAACAGTGATTTAAAATTATTGAAAACCAAAAAAACACTGGAAAATTGATGAACATGTCAACAGAACCAAAACCTAACAGTCTCGACTCCATGTTGCAATGAAATCTCCAGTTGAAATTCGAACGAATAGCCGATTACGCTCTTTAAATGCTGAAATAGAATTTCTAGAAATTGAATAAAATTAGGGAATTCATTCCACCGTTTGATAACGATATAATAAGAGATGCTGGACCTGAAATATAATTGGGCAGTGACAAAGCTCAAAGATGGGGGTTGGGACGCCGACGAATTTTCACTCACTTTTTTGCAGTTTTTTAGAAGCCACTGTTTAACGCCGTCTAATTGCGCGAGTACATCTGGTGATTCGAAAAATTTGGTATTTGGTCCACCGTCTTTTTTTGGTCCAAGAGTTAACATCATTTATGATTTTTAATTGAAATACGTCGACAGGCCAATTCTACAACGCCGCACTCACCGCAAACATCACATGCAACTGAAGTTATCCCCAGTACAAGCCCGCCATTATTATTTCAAGTCAATTACATGTGAAGGTCTATCCATATTGAAATCATGGTGTAACTATTTCCTCTATCCCTCTATTCTGAATTAAAAATCAGATAAAATCAGCTAGAAATTATGTGAAATGCTCTGGAATTATTTGAAACGGTGAAATCGCGGGGAACAGCTCTGGAAAAGATTTGAAGTCTTTTGGAATTACTGGAAGTCACTTTGAAGCTCCATTTTGAATTAAATTCAGATAGAATCAGTCCTGAAATAATTTTAAATCATTAGTACTCCCTTGAGATCATGAAATTGTGAGAAACAATTATTGAAATTATTTGAATTAATTTAAAATTAAATAGCCCAAGAAATTATTTTGAAATTACACTCTAAAGAAATCAATTTTGAAATCATAAAATCATTACGTCATGATATTTGATAATGAGTAATTGCAATGCAACGATTGCGTCTGCAAAAATAAAATCGATTGGTGTACTTAGTAATGTTTGCAGTAATTTTGTATTAATTTTTTGGAATTCTTAAATAACGAAGTGAATAGTATGAAGTTGTCTCATTGTCGATGAAAAAGGATGAAGCATGCCTTTAAAATTAACCTATTGTTGCCTTTTGGAATATTGAACTTCTCCAGCTTTCCAGAAAATCACGAAATTGTAATTCAAATTTTGCCTCGTGAGTTCTAGTTTTTATTTCATTTTTTTATTATGCCAAAGGTAAGGGGAAACTCAATATTAATGCGCGGGTTAAATAATTATTAATAAACAATTATTTAGACGAGTTTATAAAAGATTTTTTCTCATTTTGCAGAAAATCCTATTTGAAAGTATTAATTTTATAATTGTGGAGTTATAAACAATTAAAACTTCATTTTATTATAAATCTATTAGATTTTATATACTCTATATTATAATTTTGAATTATTTAATGAACATTCTTGATTATTTAAATTGATAAAAAATGAAAAAGTGAGAGATAGATGTAAAAATTAATAAATTTTATATAATTCTTCTCAATTTAATTTTTTCAGGTGGTAAAATGACAACTGCAATTTCGACTGGTCACGACATCAACGAGATCTTTGAGAATCTGCTCCTTTCTGAAGAAATCGCGGAACAATCAGGATTTCAAGAGGGTTACAATGATGGGAAGAATCAGTCCTTGAAAGGGTATCATCTGGGTTATCACAGAGGATCAGAATTGGCGGCTAAACTCGGTTATTACAGCGGTATCGCCCAACACTGTCTCAACTCCAGTATTTATCTTCCAAAAGTCACGGAACACGCGAAAAAGTTGTTAGAAGCCATCGAATTATTTCCACTTACCAACGACGAGACTGTGGATATTATAAACAAATCAGAAGAGATCAAGTTTAAGTTTATAAAATTATGTTCTCTCGCTAAAATCGATTCGACGTATCCAGAGGCTGATAAACTCGACTTTTGATATTTCTAGATATCGATTTATTATACAGTTACGCCAATTTTTATCATGAAAACCTTTCAGGAAGATCTGGAAGACAATTTATCATTCATTCAAGAACACGAGAATGTAATCAACAGTCATCTCGTAAATTTTATAACTGAGGATTTATGGGAGAAATTACCGAGTGATTTACAAGTGGAATTGCAACAATTCGAAGGGGAAATGGATTTTTTATTATTAGTAAAACGATGTCCTGCATTAAAATTGATGATAGACAGAGCGGAGACATTGAGTTTGAAGAGTAATCCCAAAGTTCTGGACTTAGAAGACTTTTCAGTTGAGTTTTTAAACGATACTCTAAATTCTGAAGAGAGAAATTCGTTGAAAGACATTCAGAATGATTTTATGAAGGACAAGAAGAGATACGAGATTTCAAATTTCGCAAAAGTCATCGCCTGTTTGGCAAATGGAAATAAATGCCTGGTTATTGATGCTGGGGGAGGAAAGGGATATCTGGCGACTCATTTATCCAATAAATATTCAATCCCGGTTTTATCACTGGATTCCAACCCCAGGAGAAACAAAAGTGCAATCAATCGACAGAAAGTACTGGAGAAAACGAAAAATCAAACATTTCCACTTTCACAGCATTCTGTTGAATTTATCCACGACAGTACTAATTTTTCGGAGTTAGTCAAATCTTATTTTCCTGATTGGAGGGGAGAGGATTATCTTCTCACTGGACTCCACACTTGTGGACCTCTAGCCCATTCTATTATCAAAACTTTTACTCGTTCTGAGACTTTGAAAATTCTCTGCGTCGTCTCCTGTTGTTATCATTTAACAGAAGAATTTCTGACTACTGACGTCAATTTTTCAAAGACCATGCGGATGTTGGCTCAACAGTCTGTCGAGAGAATTTCTGCTAAAAATGCTGAACAACCCATTTCGATTTTTTATAGATCTCTTCTGCAACTTTTGCTGAAAAATCTGAGTGAGTGCAATTATTCTATCTTTTTTTATTTGAAAAAAAGCAACAGATCTTTTAATATTCGACATTTTATCGAATGAAATCACTGATAATTACTCTGTTCTTATTTTAACGTCAGAAAAATAAATTTTTTACGTATCGTTTAGACATAATGAAGAGAAAAACTCATTTTAAAAGCATTTCAGAAATTCCGGATGTTAAAATAGGAAGAGGAGCTCCAACCGAGGATTTTCAGACTTACGTTACCTGGAGTTTAACGAAAATTGGATTACCTCCCGATCAAGTGAGTAAAATTCTCATTTCAATTTTATACATATCAATTTATATTGATTTATGATCTTTAATTCAATTTTTGTAATTTTTCATTGGAATTATTGCATTTAAAAACTAATTGATTGAATTATTCACTTTCAGATTCCTTCCGAAAAAGACTTGATCGATCTCCAAATGAAATATTCAAATTATCGTTGGAAGTTAAACATTTTTCAAACAATTAGAGCGCACATGGGATCCGTCATCGAGTCTTCTATAATCCTAGATCGCTTCATTTATCTCCAACAATCCGAAAAGTGTTCCAAATTATCGATAGTACGCGTTTTCGATCCATTATTATCCCCCAGATGCTTCGCAATAATTGCATTGAAGTAAAATAAAAAAACCTGGAGGAATAATATTAAAAAATGACGAGAATTATCAACTCCTTATTTTTTAAACGAATAAAAACGAAAATTATAGTTTTATTCTCTTTTTTATTGACTTAATAATTAATTATCATTCTAAATTAACGTGAAATACTCCGCAGGTAATAATTACTCACTCAATCATTAATCGACTGATAATCGAGTTGTAGATTCATTCTAATTAATTAATAATGATTAATTGTCTCTTATTCTAGAATACCAAACGTTCGAGTCGTCATATTACGATAATTTATGACGACAGCACAATGTCAAGATTTAATTGCAAGATCATCACAAAAGTATCTACAAAAGACGTACGATAATCCAAGGTAAACAGCCCAGAAAATAAAAATAAAAATAAAAATCCCCTCTTGAAAGCCATAAATACCCAAAAATGACTATCTGAGATATGATTTCAAGTAGAAATCTTATTAGTTCCAGTTATCGATGAGATATTTCGTGATTTGGTTGCTGCCGGGAAGGGAGAGCTAATAAAATCGCAAGTGAACCTCAGTTTTCTCGTCAGTGTTCATTCCAACACGCACATACATTGCAACAAGGTCATCCAGTGATTCCAGTCAATAATCGCGAATTGAAAGTAAAATAGGTACCACCAACCGATAAGACACTGCATTAACGATTTTCATTCGATTTTATTTTATTAAATTCATTGCACAACTGCAAGTCTGCAACTTTCACTGCAGTCAATTAAATTAATCCCTGAATCGTCTCCCAGTCGTAATTAATTCGTAATTATTCACCTGTTGTCCAGGTGAAATGGAAGCTTTTTCGAAAGTTCTCTTTCGTTCCTGCAGACTCCAGAAGAATCACCAGTGGAGGACAATCACTTCTCAAGAAGTTTTTACACGTGAAGACAAATATGGTGCCCATAATTATCATCCACTACCTGTTGCTATCAATCGAGCTGAGGGTGTCCACATGTGGGATGTCGATGGCAAACGGTATTACGATTTTTTGAGTGCATATTCTGCAGTCAATCAGGGACACTGTCATCCCAGGATATACAATGCAATGTTGCAACAAGCTAAAGTACTCACATTGACATCCAGGGCTTTTTATTCCGACGTACTTGGAGAGTTTGAGGAATATGTCACTAAATTGTTTGGGTAAATGATTTTTATTCACTCTTTCCTTCGATTTTATTTCACTAATTACTTTCTTCCATTATTATTATTTATAGCATTCATATTATTATTATTACAAATGATTATGTATGAGTCATTCTTTTATAATTAGTATTCATTATTATGAAATGGAAGATAATAAACAAAATGTTTAATTGTTTTTAGATATGATAAATGGTTGCCAATGAATACGGGGGTAGAAGGTGGGGAAACTGCTTGTAAATTGGCGAGAAAATGGGGCTACAATGTGAAAAATATTCCCAATAATTCAGCTAAAATTATTTTTGCCGAGGGAAATTTCTGGGGAAGAACATTGAGTGCTGTATCATCGAGTACCGATCCCACTAGTTACGCGGGATTTGGGCCCTTCATGCCGGGGTTTGAATTAATACCTTACGATGATTTGGTGTCTCTTGAAAAAAAACTTCAGGATCCGAATGTATGTGCTTTCATGGTGGAACCGATTCAAGGAGAAGCTGGTGTAGTTGTTCCAAAGGTAAATTATTTATTCACAATTCAAAATAATTAATTTCTTTATGTGTTCATGAATTAATTTTTTAGATTTTACAACAATTATTACAATATGCATGAAACTTCGTACTCATTTTATTTTCATCTGCAATTTTCGTCTTGATTCTTAGCGCAACAGCTGAAGCTTTTGTTTATTTTTTTTTGTTAACTCCACTCGCATTAACTTTGTTATTATTAAATAACTCTTATCGAAGAATATCACGAGAATACAATTCCATTCCCTGGTCTAATCTTTCACCTAGCAGACAAGTAATCGGTCAATTCCACGATAAAAATTATCTTCCCTCGCTTTTACAACCCTTCAGTTGTCTGATAAGTTATCAAGTAGCAGTAAGTGGTCGAGATAGCATCATATTGGAAATACGAATTGCAAGAAAACAAAGTTAGAATTCTCAGTGATTTCCTTCAATTATTTTCCGCATGAATTTATCCCCCTCAACATAAGAATCAAATGATTCTACTATTTTTATCCTCGCAGCGGAGAAACCGATTCTTTAATCCATTTTTATCTATTTATTATTCAATAATTTAATTATGTATTAAAAAAACTGAGAGGGACGGGTTTAATTCCCCCATTGGAATAACGATTTAGATTTATTTATAAAATCGAGTAATTAATTACCTTTCAATTGCAGGACGGCTATTTAAAGGCTGTACGAGAGCTCTGCACGAAGCACAATGTTCTTTGGATAGCTGATGAAGTACAGACTGGTCTGTCCAGGACAGGAAAACGATTAGCTGTAGATTACGAGAACGTTAAACCCGATATTTTAATCCTGGGTAAAGCCCTGTCCGGAGGTTTCTATCCAGTGTCTGGAGTTCTTGCAAACGACTCAGTAATGCTGTGCATCAAGCCTGGAGAGCATGGATCCACTTATGGAGGTAATCCTCTGGGTTGTCGAATAGCTATGGAAGCCCTGAAGGTCCTGGAGGAAGAAAAATTAGCGGATAATGCGTACAGATTGGGTCAACTCCTCAGAGACGAGCTCAATAAATTGCCCAAGGATGTGGTTACCCTGGTACGGGGAAAAGGCTTGCTCAATGCAATTGTTATTAATAAAAAAATTGATGCCATGGAGATTTGTGTTAAACTGAGGGATCAGGGACTTCTTGCTAAACCAACGCATGGTCACATCATCCGTTTAGCACCACCACTTGTTATTACTCAGCCACAGATACTTGAAGCCACTGAAATTATTTCGAAAGTTATTCTCAGGAATTGATCGAAGAATTTATCGATTTTTATCGATTCGTCGGAGTCATCCATGTCAATTAATCGTCTGCATTTATTTGAGAAATTAATAAAGAAAATTCATTTAATTTTGTTCATCAGTTTTTGATTAATAATAGAAATATTAATATCATTGTTATACTGATTATAGAAGGTATCCAATAATTATTATTAACTTTGAGGTGGTTGATTGAATAATGGAGTCAATTAATTGATTAAATAATTAAATCGATAGTAAAGTGGGAAATCGATACAAGATTCTGTAATTTACGATGAGTTTGAAGAAGATATCTCTGAAATTAAAGGCTATAGTGAAATTTTGTTGAAAACCTTTTTTGTAGATATTAATTAGTTCTACGAGAAAGGTCCAGACAAAAATTTTGCTAGCTCCTCCAGATTTTGAGATTTTTAATGAAAACTCGACGAAGCAAATGATGAAATTGTAAAAATTGGAGAATTCGTGGTCATAGTTTCCTATTTTTAAAATTCTATTATTGCAACAATATTATCAACGGAAATACAACAAACCAGAGAATATGATAAGATCAGGTGGCGTTATCCAGAGTCTATCTCGGTGTTTGCATTTAGCGAAGACAGGCGCCTTCCACAATCTTTTTCAACTTTAAATAAATTCTGCACTGCCAGCTGGATATTATTATCAACAGATAATGTTTTATTTGTTGGTAAAAGATATGTAGAACCAATTCCGAACAAACAATTTCAATGGGTATAAACATAGAATCACACGAGACAGAAAACGCAGAAGACAAGTAGTCTGCAAGGAAATCGTCTCGAAATTCATTTGCTCATTAATTATTATTTAATTACCGTAATTGACATTTTTAAATTACAAAATGCGGTTTATAAATCGAGGTATACATTCTAGAATTCATGACTCCAGAGTACTGAGGCGTTTAATTAGCACACACCAGGAGGATGTGATAAAAAAGGATCAGCATTACGGTGGACATCACTTCAAACCTCTACCAGTTGTTATAGAAAAAGGTGATGGTGTCTATTTGTGGGACGTCGATGGGAAAAAGTATCTCGACTTTTTGTCTGGATTTTCAACTGTTAATCAGGGAAATTGTCATCCTAGGCTGGTGAAAGTTATGAGAGAGCAATGTGGAAAGCTCCATCACACGTCAAGAGCTTTTTTTACGTCTCTGCATGGAGAATTGGCTGAATATTTAACGAAATTATTGGGATTTGACAGATTCATCCCAATGAATACAGGTAAAAGAATATACATATCAATAAATAATAAATAATTAGAGCTATTCGCATTATCCACGTAATTATTATGCAGTTGAATCTAATCAAATGATTGAAAAATCAAATAAATACGAAAATTAAAATAAATATAGATCAATTAGAGAGAATGGATCACGGAGTATGAATAATTTAATTGTGGATTAATTAGTTTAAGGATTTATTTTACAGAATTTATGAATTTGTTATTGTTTGACAGGTGTCGAAGGTGGGGATTTATCCATAAAATTAGCAAGACACTGGGGCTACAAAATCAAGAAAATACCGGAATGCAAAGCAACTGTACTTTTCGCTGATAATAATTTCTGGGGAAGATCGCTAGCTGCTATTTCAGCATCAACTGAACCGATGAATTATCAAGATTTCGGGCCACTAATGCCGAATTTTGAAAAAATTCCGTTTGATGATCTCAACGTTCTCGAGGAGAAATTGAAAGAAAATCCGAATATCTGTGCGTATATGATGGAACCGATTCAGGGGGAAGCCGGTGTTTATATACCCAAAGTAAATAAAAACTGGTACTATTTACTGTGCATTTTACTGTAATCCCTGGGGAATTACAGTAAGCGAGAAAGATTGTGGAGATGTGGATGACTTGAAGTTATGGATGTTTATATTTTATAGGATGGCTATCTCAAAGGTGTACGTCAATTATGTACCAAGTACAATGTTCTTTGGATTGCTGACGAAGTGCAAACAGGTCTTGGGAGAACTGGATATCGACTTGCTGTTGATTACGAACACCAGAAGCCAGATATTTTGGTTTTGGGGAAAGCACTTTCTGGTGGGATGTACCCAGTCTCTGGAGTTCTCGCCAGTAATGAGGTTTGTTTAAAACATCAACAAAATAACTTTGAAAGAAATTAATTACTCCTTCACAATTATTTTACATCAACCAACTACTATTTTAATTACTATTAATAATTATAATTATCACGACAATTTATATGATAGAAATAATAATTCTTGAAAAATCGATGACTGAATATATTGAAATCATTTTTAAATATTTCAATCAATAAATTGTGATAGAATGTTTAAAAAAAATATTAATAATTGAAATTGAATGATTGAAAAATGATAATTAAGGGAAAGAGGAATAACTCTTCGATTTTAGTTTTCCGTTTAAAATTTTCTTCAAAATGAAATTAATCCATTAATATAATTTTATATAGATAATACTGACCTTGAAACCTGGGACCCATGGAAGTACCTTCGGGGGTTCCCCCCTGGCCTGTGCAATAGCCCTGGAGGCAGTCCGGATCCTGGAAGAAGAGAAACTAGCAGAAAATGCAAAAAGACTAGGAAATATTGTGAGAGAGGAACTCACGAAGTTGCCAGGGGATATAGCAACTGAATTCCGGGGTCGAGGACTCCTTTGTGGTCTGATGATCAACAAGGACTTCGCCGAAGGCTGGCAGGTCTGCTTGAGACTGAGAGACGCTGGACTCCTGTCCAGGCCAGCTCACGGTCAACTCCTCAGAATTTCTCCACCTCTAACTATCAACGAGGTACAGCTGAGGGAAGGCCTCGATATAATTAAAAATACTCTCTTGAAGTATTGAAAGCGATAATCATCTCTGTGCACTCCTTGAAACCATTTTTACATTAGAATCCATAAAAATAATAATTTTACTATAATTTATAAATAAAATAAAGCGAATTAAACCGAAGATTTTGGTTTTATCCTTGAATTATTGCTATAAATCCATTTGGTAATAATAATAATTATTATTATGATAAATAAATGTTATTATTATTATCATTATTAATTATTATTAATAATAATTGAAATAAATACATGGGTTATGGGGTTCCCACAATTTTTTATATGAAATTCAAAACAATACATTGTTTTAAATATTTAATAATGGTGTTAGAAAATTTATTGCGCAGAAATTCGCAAGTATAAATTCTAGGTTTCGCAGTGTCTTTTGAGATGCCTCTTCAAGCTGAACGCCTGTGAAAACATCTGATCGCACTGATTGCACTTGAATCTCTTCACGGAGGAATGTAAATTAGCGTGTCGTTTCAAATGCGACAAGAGTTTAAATCTTTTTCCACACAAAGTGCATTGATGTCGTCTCGTGGACTCATGCGTCACCTCATGACTCTTCAAATGACTAGATTGAGAGAAACTCTTACCGCAGATTTTACAATCAAAGGGCTTGACTTTCGTGTGAATCCTCAAGTGCTCTGTGTAATTCCCTTTTTCAGTGAACGATTTGGCGCAATATTCGCACTTGTGTAATTTAATTCCTTTGTGAGTTCTCATATGAATCTTTAAATTGTATTTCTGACTGAAAATCTTACTGCAAATTTCGCAGTGGTACAGGCCTTCACCGCTGTGAAGTCTCAGGTGTGCTTTTAAATTTTTTTTCAATCGAAATTGTTTGCAACAGACTGAGCACTCGAATCCCTTGGATTTCATTTTAATCTCCTTTTTCTCACCGACAATGTGGACTTTCTGATGCTCTTTCAGATACGATGGGTACGAGAATATTTTATCACAGATTTTGCACTCATGGAGATTGGTCTTCGTGTGGAGTCTCACGTGTGCATTTAATTTACTCTTTGAAGTGTACGCTTTATTGCAATCGTCGCATTTGTAAGGCCTCTGGCCAGTGTGACGGAATTCGTGGATCTTTAATTTCGATTTCTGGGAGAATTTTTTTTCACAAGTGGAGCAGCTGTGGATTTTCTCATCTGTCATCGTTGGGTACTTCAAAACTCGATTGCTCGTAGCGATTTCAATGTCTGATTGGGAGTCAATAACTTTTGGTTGAATCCTCTGGTTTTCTGGAATTGTTAAATTTTGAGGATAAGTCATACTGATAATATTCTCATGATCCCTAGGGTACTGATGAAAACTGAGATTCTCTGCTATTTCAGTCGAGTCTTCTCCAATCTGGATACTGTCATCGCAGGAATTATCGATGTGATTATTGCTATGAGAGAAGTTGTGACTTATTAATTGATTTCTGTTGGGGAATGTGTGATTGCAAAGAGAGCAATGAAGTGCACAGGCGGGTCTGTCGTTTTTTGGTGGCTCCAATACTGCGACTTGTAAATTTCGGTTGGTCGTTATCACTGGATCATTTATTGATGATTCAGAGGAGAAATAGTGATTGTTTGATTCAACTATGTGCATGTGCTGCATTGAGGTTGATTCGTTTGCAAATGGGGCTTGAGGACGATTGTGGAAACAGAGTTCTTGGTAATTCATGAGGACTGCCTCGCACTCGGTGCATTTTACACTTTTTTCAGAGGTTTCCACCGGAGTAAATCCTGGATTTTCCTCGTATCCTTTGCTGCCAGGAACTGGCGAGTATTTACTCGGCCCGGAGACCTAAAAAAATCGTTCTCTTAATTCCAGACGATTTTTACATAATTATTAAAACAAACAAACTCCAAAATAAAAAAATTCGAAAGATATCTTGAGGAAAAAAAAAAATGGGGAAGTACATTTTTTTCGAGGTCAATTTTTCATCGATATCTCGCAATTGGAGGAACATACAGATTTTTTTGTAGAGACATTTTTTATAGAAAACGGTGAGAGCTACGAAAAAGGTCGATATGAAAATATCGGTATCTCCTTTCAATCTCGAGATATTAGCGAGGAACTGGCTCCGAAATAAATTATCATAGTTTACAATTTCACAGGAGATTTTAATTATTCTTCCGGTTGAATTATTGAGGATTTATTATACGATAATTAAACAAACCTTTGTCGCGGCTTGTCGTAAGGCCTTATCAGCAGCCCTGCATTGTTCTCTAAACAAAAGTGCAGATTCTGCTCGTGTGATGCACCTGTCGCAGAGTTTTTCGGGAAGACCATCGCCTTGCCAGACCTTAATAACAAAAAATGATAAAGTTTATTGAATAATCTACGAAATTTCATAATCATCTAATGCATTCACCTCTAAACAGGATAAAGATCTCAATTTTGCTGCCAGTGAAGAACCTGCTGGACCCACAAATAAACAAACCATTTTCTCCCCGTCTTCTCTCAGACACGTACGACAAAGTTTACTAATATTTTCACTGTCAATCTGTTTAGTTACGATAAACATCTTCTCATTAAATAAATTTGTTATTAAATCGCACGAAAAATACTGACAAATTGTTGAATTGTTATTCTAATTGTTGTGGTTATGTCTCAAAAAAGAATTTATTATTATTCCCTGGAGAGGGCGTAATCCAATTGTTAATTCAAATAATCCGTGGTCAAGTGTCACAATTGTTTTACTATTATTTATTAATTTGAACATTAATTACGTACATTTCATGACTCACATAAATTTTCTGAATCATTCAAAACATTCAGTTCGTCTCCTAGTTTATCTGTAATAATTTTAATTACTCCAGTTACAGTAATCAACCTGAAGAGTTAATGCCTGAGATTTATTTAATTTTCCATCAGCGACTGCCGCCTCGAGGTTCAAGAATTCCTTCTCCATCGGTGGGCGGTTGTTTTGTTGTTTTATCAAGAAATTGAGTCCAGTCGAAATTATCTAAACTGGGGAAAGGAGCTTTTGTCGAAGAAGTTGTTGAAGGAACAGTCGTGATGATGGGTGAAGGTGTAGACTGAATACCATTGGGTCTATCGAGATTGGGCTGACGATTCCAATCTTTCGGGAGATTCTGCAGCCACGGGTTGTCCTGATAAGATTTATCCTGATTACGATTCACTGGCTGCCTCACACCATCAGTCGCAATTATCATCTGCATCAATACTCATTTAATAATAGGAATAATTGGAATAATATTAATAATTAATACTCACGGTTGTTCCTGTTTTAGGATCTGTGCAGACCCATTCTGTATTGAGCGTGTTGGGCTGATTTTGCTGCCTCTGAACTGGTGGTTGTTGTGGAAATTGATTTGGTTGTTGAGGATAATATGGAATCTGCTGGGAAGGATATCTCGGTGGGTAATTTTGCTGAGGCTGTCTCGTCCTTCCCTGATCTACTCCTACGATTTTTCCTGTGTCGAGATCAATGTAGACAGTTTGAGCAACAGCACAAGCGAAAATAGCAGAGAAGATTCCAATATTAATTAGACACTTCATCATGATTTTTTATTTTTAGACCCAGAAAGCTAGCAGCTCCACGTCCAAATGATCACTGAAGTAATCATCGTTGGAGTTACTCAATTTGCCTCGTCATATTCTTTTTAATGATTGGGATGTGTGTGTGGGACTTGTAACAGGAATGGCGTAAATAGGAAACGAAAATATCTTATTGAATATTGATGTTTCTGTTTCTTTGAGGTTCAACCGGTTAGGGGACTCTTCCAATTGTTGAGCGTGTGAAAGGTCAGAGCTCTCAACTATTCGACCCTGACCTTCTCTTTCCATTTTTTTTTTCAATTTCACTAATGTAACGTGCCACTTAATTATTAGGCCCCACGTAATTTCATCCTACGTTTTTTTTATTCATTTCTTTTTCCTAAAGAAGGAAATTCCTAGTGAACTATAACGATAATTGTATTTTCGTATTTTGGGAATATCTCAGGATTGAAGGGAGATAGCGGGATTTTCATGAATACCTTTTTTGTAGATCTCATCTTTTTCTATAAATAATGTTCATACAAAAAATCGGTATGTCCCTTTAATTCCGAGATATCAGCGAGAAATTGGGTCTAGGGGTGGAATTTAAATAAATCGGATAAACTTTTATGATTTTAGTAAATACAAATAAATAATTGAAATCTCAATGATTTAAAATATATGACAAAAGGATTTTATTACCAGATATTACATCGTCATTGGCTTCATCATCATTTCTCCGATGTAGAAATTGTTCCTCGAGATTGAGAATTACAACTATGAATATCGATGCACCAGCAAATAAAACATAAAGGAATGCCTCCAAAGATAACTACCAGAACAAAAATGGACAGTAAAAAGTTTAACGATTATTTCGACACAGTAAGTAACAACTGTTTGAATCTTCAAGTGAAGAGACGAAACGTCTGCAAAAATTCATTTACGAAAAAAAATAATGATAATTGCACCTGAATCGTTATCCTCGCAATTTTTCTGAGGTAATGATTATCTGTAAAATACATGAGCACATGACAGGGGATCAGGAATATCTCGATGACCTTATCTAGGTATTCCACGAAAAAAGTCCCATCGACATCCGTTTGACTTAACTTCCATAGTCTGAAAATAAACAGTCAATTATGACTTAGAAGCGAAATTCCTGCAGGTCATTGACTCTTGGTCAACAGAAATTCATTTGATATTCACATTAACGCAATAATAATTGTAATAATTGTAATAATCGTAATAATTCTAATAACCATAATAATTCTAACTGTACCTTTTCAAAATCTGGGTGAAACCATTGAAAAAAATCGATTTTCCACGTGGAATTTTCTTCTCCTTCTGATTATCCACTGGTAATTCCGTTATGACATCATGATCATCGAATTCCGTCTCAGAGTTTTCGTCCGTCGCCTCCATTTAATTTGTGGTGACAATTATTTAAACAATCTTGAAGAGAAAATGAAAAGAAATTCAATAAAAAAATGGCAGCCACTGATTTTTGACAGGTCACATTCATTTATTCGGTATTTTTTAATATCACGGCGATATAAGTGGTTTTAAAAAATATTTGCCACAAATCTGATGAAATATATACGAATTTATTTATTTAAATTTCTCTTTTTCAGTTTCATACTAAAAAAAAATGCATGTTAATCAATTCATTAATGACTGATTAGTAATTTATTAATGACTGATTAGTAATTCATTGATGAACATAAATTCATTAATAAATATTAATTTATTTAATAAATATTATCGACGAAATATCGAAATTTGAATGATTTCTGAGTCTCTCCAAAAATTGATGCATTCACTAAACAATTTGTAACTAGACTCCAGGATTTCCTCGAGAATACATACCTCAGCTCACATAATCACCTTGACATTTATTTTCACACTTGTAAATTACCACGAGCATGACTAACTAAAGACAACAAAAAAAGAAAATGATTCACCACATCCCCAGCCGGAATTAACAAAATAAAAGTCTCATAAATAATTATAAAAAATCTTTATGGTGCAGTCACTAAAAATTCACATGTTCTCGTAGCTCTGATAATAATTGTTATTACGATTCTTGTATGCATAAATATAAGGCTGATAATATCTGTTGCGTAGATATTTCTGACGTGCCTCTTGACGATATCTAAATAATGGTCTGAAGACGATGTCTTCGGCGACGTCCATGTCCTCCAGAGAACGTCGTACCTGCGTTATTACGTAATAAATTTAAACCCCAAGGTATTGCAATTGAAAACAATGCAGATATAGTACGGTAATAATTACATCACTCTTTTTCCATATCTTTAGCCATCAATTTACCTCCGGCTGTGGTACGTCTGGTAATTCTGTTGTTGTTACTGATTCAATTGCTATTGGTAGGAGATTTGCGACCAGAGGACTGACTTGAGTCGTTGGGGGATTGGAATTTGGATCTACAACTGGTACCAGAGGAACCAGGAGTCCATGACCAACATCTAGGGCACCTGTCACGTTCGGCTTCAAAACCATATCCGGAGATGCTGAGATTATCGGTGGAATTTCGTTTGTTGCGTCGCGTGTCCATCGGGATGAATCCTAAATAATTATGCCTTATTAATCATTGAGGTAACTACAATTACGGGGGGGAATCCCCGTTTATATTCTCCACCATTCAAACAAATTCTGTTAATTTTCTTATAAACTAGAACCAGTGTTTTCCTCGACGCCAGTTTTTCGAGAATATCTCGGGATTAAAGGGAGATACTAAAATTTTTGATTCTATATTTTTTGTAGAGAAAGATGGGCTCTAGAAAAAAGGTCATTACGGAAATATCGATATTTTCCTTCAATCCGGAGATATTCGGGAAAAAGTCATCGTAAAAAATTGTGCACTTGTTTGAGTTTACCACTGGATTGCAAATGATTGTTCAACCGAATAATTATTTAAAAAATGGATGTATACACACCGATTCGAACGATTCTTGGGAAGATGAATCATCCATTGTTGTCGATGGAATATCAGTCGTAGGAGCAGTAGAAATAGCCACAAGAAGCCCAAAAATCACTCCAAAAATGATAACACCATCAGCTTGTCTCTAAAATAAAAATAAAGCATTTCTAATTAATAAATTTCGTGAAGTACACGTACTGTGCGCCTTAAAAATAATTAAACTCCACGGGATACGCAGAATTGTGAAACCGGAAATGCATTATCAAGCAATCAGAATCCCAGGAAATACGTACCTTGAGAGTCGACATATTTATTCACTTTTATTGAGACCAGAAAAAAAAATCCGTTGCACTACCCGAGAGTCCAGCCCTTCGTATGAATCGAAATCCATTCTCAATGACTTTTATACTTCCGCTGTGAATTCCTCAGGTGATTAGCGCCGATAATCACACAATGCCTGCTAAATTAATTATAAATTTGCTAATGAAATAATCGCAGCTCGAGGAATTGTCCTTGAATGCCACGTCATGTGGTTTACCCCACGCGTAATTCTGGGGTCTTAGGTGCTAATTACATGTTAATTAAAAAAAATTTTCATTCACAGATATTCGGATAGAATTGTTAGATGATTTTTGAGTCATTCATGGACAGAATGGATAATCGGAGAGAATCTTTCATGAGAATCTCTGGTTTTCGAGACCACTTAGTTGGTAATTATCACCGGGACTTTGTGGAAACACGCGAGCATATAAAAGTGGAGGTGTAAAACTCGAATGACTCAAGTACCACTGCGCCTTCAATGCCAATAGCTCTTTTCCTAAGAATTCAAGCGATACGAATTCCATCTCAATATTGAATCTAAAAAACTTGAGGATGTGGAAGTATTTACTTCTCCTGTTGTGCGTTACGAAAATTCAATGTGAAATCTCGTCATCGGAGTCGATAGAATCGACGAATGGAACTGACTCATCGATTTCGCAAGATCCACTCGTGGAAAACGCAACGAATTCTTCTGAGGAGGTGACAACGATTAAACCACCGAATGAAGAGGCTCAATTGCCTATTGATCTGCTGAATGATGACGTCTTGTTGGATCCGAATGTCGTGCTGGCTAGAATATCCCGTCGGGATTTGGGTGATGTCAACTCCAAGAGGATTTATCAACCTTACAAATATAATTCCGGTGGTGTTCGTCGTAGACCGAACAGAAGGACGAGCTCCAACTATAAACAGTCTGTCGAACCCCCAAGGATAAAAGTCTATCCTGTATTTCCAGGAAAATAATTTGTTAATTATGTGATTATTAATCAGATGCATTTGAAATAGATAAATATATTTATATTGAAGTCCTTCTGTTGTCTTCGTGAATTATTTTCCCCAGCATCAGTGCCATGAAGAATCACTCATTTCATTCACTCGCACTTGAAGTGAGAACTAATTAAAAGTAATTGAAAGTAATTGAGAGAAAATTCCAATTCTAATGTGCTGATAAGTTTATTGCGTCAACTATTTTAGTTGTCGTTAAAAAAATAGAGGATTTTTATAGTTATTGTGTTAGTGAGTTGAAACTTTAGTTAAGGTATCAGCATATTGGAATTCTGGACTGTTTTCGTACTCGCACATGTCCAGGGCGATGATGCAGCTCTCCCTGACGACTCGTTTGGAGTCCTCCACGTATTTATTGAGGATTTTTTCGCAGGTTGGATGAGCAATGGCGCCAAGAGCCTCAGCGCACTCGTGCCTGACCATTTCGTTTTCCTCTGGGTCCTCCAGGGATGCTTGAAGAAAAGGAACGGAGATCTCCTCCTGGAGTTGTCCCAGGACGAAGGCGACTTCGTGTCTGAATAAGGCACTTCCTGCTCGAAGACCTAAAATCATTTTTTACTATCACCTGGGTAATTGATCAACCGTAATTATTGTTATTTATTCAAGGTCACCTTCTCCGAGGGCTAAGACACTCTCTGCTGTTCTCAAGTTCCTGAGAGAGAACATCGCTCTGTACCTTTCAAAAAGGGAGGCATTCTCGTTTAATAAAATCTCCTTCAATTTTTCAACGTCTCTGATTTTACAAGGCGGTGCTGGATCCACCGAGGAATAAGGATTCTCTGATAAATTCTCTGGATGATTTTTACTTTCCTTCAACCAGTTTATCCTCTTCAGGGCTAGTTGGCACGTCTCTGCGACCTCGATCACTGGGTCTTTGCTATATTCTTCAAGGATTGGGATCACTTCATCGTCTCCAATAGCTCCGAGAGCTTCTCCTGTTGAATAAATTCAATTTAAAAAATATTCCCTCAGTTTCGTCGAAGCACAAAACAAATTGATAACAGACGTATCATTTTTTTAAGTAATGGACATGTGAAGTGGCGAAGATATCAATTGAACGTTGAAATAAAATGATAAAATTAATATATTCATGCAGAATAAATTCACCCGCTTCATGTCGAACCATTGGCTCCTGATTGATGTCTTTTAATACATCAATCAATACTGGAATTGCTCTGGAGTCTTGCATTTGTCCTAAACAATATGCCAACTCGTGTTTTAACAATGCTGAAGGATCCTCGAATGATTTTTTTATCCAATCAATCGCCTCCTCTCCTCCAATATTTTTTAATGTAAATAAAGCGCGGAATCTCTCCTTCAACGGTCTCTTGTCGTCATTCAGAACTTTTCCAATTGCTTCCATTTTTGTGGTGTCTGCATTTGCCATTTTCATGTGCTCCAGGATAATCTCAACATAAACTCAACATCAATAGTCAATCAATCAATCAATAGACTTGAATTTTTATAGATTAATATATTATTCTTTTCATGATTTTGTAATCGGCTTTTGAAAATTAGTGCAGGTGTCAAATTTAAAGGTTATAGAACTCTCCTCACGTGTTTGATTTCCAGAAATCAGTGGCATCAGCTGACTGCGAAGTTCATGAGGAAAAAGACCGGAAAAACCCCGAGGAAAACAATTTTCACGGAATTTGTTAAGAATATAAACAAAACTGGATTAAATCTCGCTATCTAAAAATACTCTGACAATCAACAAAAATTCATAAAGATAATTTAAAAATTTCCATATCATTGTTATTGTTTTATAACATAAATAAAAACAAATAAATTATACGACCTGATTAAAGTACAGTGACAATATTAATTGATATTATAATCACAGGCAATTCTCAATTCATTTTTTTTACCATAATTATTGAATTGTTTTTATTATTTCGGGGGGGGCGGAGAGGGTGGAAGTAATTGGACGGGGGATTAGACGATTTGTACTTGAAGAAAACAGAATAAACTTGAAGAAAACGTGGAAACATGGCTCAAAGTAGACTCGAAAGAATTGGAACTATTTACTCAAGGTATTTACTAAATTATTTACCAAGAAAATCCCTTGATAAACAATATTCACACCTTGTAACTCAATTAAAAACAATTTGACAGTTCCAAAATGTGATCTATAGGTTACAAATGGCAATCAGAGTCTTTAGCTCATTGTGAATAATTTTAATGATATTTTAATTATGTATAAATTAATTATATTATAAATAATTAATTGTTTGAAATGATTGAAGGGTTCTGTAGGTCCAGCGATTTATTGATGACATTCATGTTTTAGGATTTCTTCACTCATGAAAGGCGGAGCAATGAAATTTGAAGACAAACCCCTGTGGTACAACATCTACGAGGCATTTCCTCCCAAATTGGAACCAAGATTTGATAGAGTAGCTCCCAATATTCCTGTTCGAGAGATTTTTTATAAAGAAGATGTTGTTAGAGCGTAAGGCAATTAATAATTCATTCAATCAAAATTTAACAACGAAATTCTTCAATTTTTCTTCAAATCTCATTTCGAACTCGAGTTGTTCGCGATTTAATTCATTAAACTTGGATTAAATAAATTTTACAAATTATTGAATAATTTGTTAAATTTAATATTTATGGAGTAATCTATAGGATTTTTTATTTATTGTGGGAGTTTTTATTGTTTTTGCAGGAAATTTCAGAGCGAGCACAACAGATTTACGATTAATCTTCACTCTCAAGGCACTCAATCACAAACTCAAAAGTTTCTTGATATTTACGATCAATTGGAGAAGTCTGGACTGGCGGAATCAGAGGCTTATGATAAGGCGATGGAGAAGTGGGCGGAAGAAAATACAGAAGCCAAAATAGCGCGATCGAACGAGAAGAGCGTAACAGAAAGTCGGGATCCAGTGAAAAAACCTAGTACAGATATAACTGATATTTTTAAACAATAAGATAATAAATTGCGTAGTTCATAGAAAGGAAGTATTTTTTATTAATTATCATTTCACTTGTCTGTGCCTTTTTCTTCGTCTTCTCCTATAAATTTATAATTATATTCATGCGTTTTTATTTATTATTGGAAAATATTCAGAATTTTAATGATAAAATCATCATTTTTAGCTCGTTTTATTATTAAAAAATGGGGAATTCTTTTGAAAATACGCGCTGTCGTGACGCTAGTCTGAGACAACCGGTGCCATAGGCCAATTGAAATTTTCGCGGAAATCGGAAGTCATTTGTTGATCGCTGGTGTTTACAATGACATTTCTACTGTCATTTTTATAAATAATAATAAATAAGGAAAAGACTGTTGAAGCCTCGAATTTTCTTCGCCTAAACTCATCGATAATCATTCAATAATCGATTATTCAAATGATAAATATGACAGCAGCTCCGAATTTCACAGTGGAATCAGCAAAAGGTGATAACCCCGAAATTATTTATATTTAATTATTAATTAAATCACATTTTTAGGGTGGATTATCTATCGAACGTCGACGTTTGTTTAAATTTTATCTTTTTATCCTTTTTGAGAAAAATTTAATGAGAAATCATTTGAACTCTTTTCCATTTTATTCCAAATTATTACATCCAACTTCTTTTTTATTTTTCATGTGTAATTCAATGTCGAATGATTAATAAAAATCAGTAAGAATTATCTTGAATTATTTGAAATAATTGAATAATCATTTCAGCTGCTTTGAATGAGATTTTGACAGCTCTAAGTGCTCCAGAAAACGTCAAGAAAATATCAGAAGCTAAAGAGAACTCCGGCAACGAGATGCTGAAGATGATGCAGTTTGTGTTTCCCATCGTAATCCAAATACAAATGGATGTAATAAAGAATTATGGATTCTCCGAAGGACGAGAGGGTCCACTGCAATTTCTCCAGTGCATAAGAACATTAGAAAGAGAAGATCCTGAAATTGGGAGATTGCACAATCAAATTAGAGCGTATTTTCTTCCTCCAGTTGCCAGCAGTCCGTCTGGCGAGGCATCACTGTAATCCAACCAATCACTATCAATTTTAATTAATCAAAAAATCCAAGGTAATTTGCATTTTATTGGTTATTCAGAAATAAACAATAACGAATTGTTTTAATTCTTTATTTTCATATACAAAACTCAATCGAGTAACTTCAGTAAATGAATTCAGTAAGGAGTAGTGAAGTGTCTTGCATTAATATTTCATCGAGTCATCAAAGTGAATGATAATGTATGTTAATCAAATTTTTCTTTGTCATTTTCTGGGATGCAGTGGTCTCTAGAAAATTGTCATCTTCACTCCTTCCGTGAATAATCATTTGCTGATGTTAATGCGACGTACAAATAAAAGTGTTTCGTCAGAAATTCACATGATTCTCTTGGTGTAGTAAATAGGTTCTTTTGATAATATTTCAAGCATTTTTCTCATAAAAGTATAATTATAATGAGATTAATTTTAGGTATAATTCTACAATGTTTGAATTTTCTACATGAAAAAATAGAATATTGTTAAATAAATTATCATCTGCCTGGATTACAATTTTTTTTTATATAATGAAAGATCTCCAAAGCTCAATTTTTCCCTAAATCTATAAATTATCATTTATCCATTTTTTGTTAGCAATGAAATTAATTATATCAGTTACGGATTAATCAGGTCCATTGGTGCAAACAATAATGAAGGATAAACAAAGAAAAATATATGGGAACTCAAAAATTTGTACATTTATTTGCATAATTATTATCATTAATAAAGTATATAATATGATCTGCTAAAATATATAATGATAAATTCATTCGTTACTTAAAGTCATAACAAATTCCAGGCGTCGATTTTAGAATTTCCTGGACAATGAAAATCATAGAATATGATTAATATTTCACGCTCGTGTAGAATTCAAAATAAAATTACGGAGAAATTGCGGAAGAATAGTCTGTTTTTTTTTATCTCAATGATGAAATTGTGGAACGTAAATATATAATTATTATTCCAGAGCAAAAGGAGATAGCGTTGCATCTACGGAATGCGTACAGTACCAATTGCGTTGATAATTCCATTTCTTGAGCACTTTTTCCACAAAGATGGTAAAAAAAAAATTGATTGAAAAATTACAACTGCCTCGAAAATGATAAAAGGATAATTGACAATTTTGTCTCACGAATTTCCAAGAAAACAATGAAAAATAACGAATAATTCCGTAAGTAATATTTCGTATGCGATATAGAATGTACAATTTTCAATAATACCATTTTAATTTCTCTTTAATTAATATTAATAAACTGTTGTTAGTCAGGGAAATTGATTGTAGCTCACATTATCATTTACAAACTGCAATAAATTTCTCCATCGACTCGGTTCCTCTAATCCATGATTAATGCATCTATCATTAAAATTGTATACAATTTATTCATCTCTCTAATACCACATTCCAACATCTGTTTTCAATTATTCATTGCGGGATTAAATAAATAGTAAATAAAAGCGCCCCACATGACACCAAAGGACCTTTATTTTTTGTTCAAAAAAAAAAACTTTCGTTTTCAGTTTAATTAAAACGTCACGTCGTTGATTCGATTGTTGCAACACTGAACCGGTGAAAGGTATTCTAAACTTCAATTAAACTTTGTTCGACTGTACTCTCACATAATTTTTTAAATTATTTGTAATTTATTATAAATTCGGTCGTTCTGCAATTCTTTTGAGGGAGTCGTTCACTGAATTTATTCCCAGAATTATATTTTTCAGTCTAAACGCTCGATCAAGTCCAAAAAAATCTAATTACAATTGCAGTAGATTAATATCCAATAAATAATAAAAATCGTCGCTTAATTTTGATCTCCATCAATTGCATCTCTTGTATTTCACTTTGCAAATGTCAATTGAAAAATCCGATATTTCACAGTCTTGGAATGTAATCTTATTCGAAAAAAAAATATTTTCATTCACTTAATTGTGTAAATTATTATGTGACAATTGAATTTTGAATTCACTAATGTGTTCCTTTAATTAATCTAAGCAAAGGAAAATACTGGTAATTTTGTTTTTCTCGTTTTCCTCATATTTACTTAAAAAATATACTATTTTCCTCGAATAAAGATTGTAAAAAACATGTATCAACGAGGAGCTCAACCGAATCACCAAGCCGTTACAGGAATAGCATCATATCTAAAGAAGAATGAGAAATAATGAAACTGCGGGATAAAACGAAACACCTGTTCCTGTGATCTCTAAAAAACCGAATAATCTAGTGTTCCATTTTCCTCAGCAATTCCACTTTGCCCCATCCTTCCCTGTATTCAACGTAAACAAACGTGACATTCGTCGACCCAAGAAAAAGTCTTCGATTCTCCAATTTAACAATTAAGCAAAGAAGTGACAAAACGCGTGAGAACCGAACAGTTTCCCAATAAAATTAAAGATAAAAAATATTTTTAAAAATTTCATTACATCCTCTGGCTTGTAGAAAATCCCAACATTTTCCCTGAATTTAATGGTATCGAAACAGGAATATGTAGAAACAATAATACATTTGTTGTAAACAAAATGGAAATTTTTATAAACAAGAAAAACTGAAAAATTGAATTGTCACGTTTTGTCACTCCATCGCAGAACTTTCGGTTGCTGTATAATTTTAGGTTCATCATTATCATCTTCTACTTGACTTCTCTGTTACTTTAATCCAATTGAATTAGTGTTTACCCTAAGAATAAAAACTTATCGTACAGGGTTATTTGTAAAACCTTTGATACGCTTATTATTTTTATCTTTTTCCATGATTTTCTTTTTTTTTTTTTCATTTTAGTTGATTTATTTAGAATCCAACGCTTTTCTCGAGTTAACTGTGATAATGTTTAATCGTTTTGAATTTTCCTGAAATATTTCACCTCTGTTTCCGTTGACGATTGAATTGGCAGGCTACGAGAGAAATGGATTGGCAGCTGGTGGAGCTGCTCCATTGCCTGTCCACGGATCCTGTCGAATCTGATTGATGGATGGGCGAGGAGGAGGTGTTACCGTTGCAAATGGATTCGCTGAAAATGGTACAGCAGCTAAAAACCAATAAATTCAATAATTAATAACAGAACAATCAGCAGATAAAAATAACTAATCATCTCCAAAGGTCTCAGTACACTTCCCCACAACAAATATAATTAATCAATCATGCAACATATAATCTGATAATATAATTATATTATTAAAGCTCATGCATTAAATCTCGCCGTCAAGTAAAATTTCACATCTCAGAAAAATCATGACATGAATATAAACTCCTGATATCGATATTCCGAATATTTCAAATATTTAAACAATAAATCCACTACAAAGATGATAATATTTATAACAATACATCCATGCATATGCTCGACGACGAAACTCAATTATCATAAAATACTCACGATGATTATTTCCATTGAAATGCTATTTTACCGGAAATATTTGATAGATTACATATAGAAACGATTATTTATAAAAATACCAAGCAGTGAGCAGTAGATTTGAGGTGCGATTATTGGATGGGCTGTTCGAGAATTAACAGCTAGTAATAATTAATATCGAGAGGCTGGAGTACATTAATTGAATTAATAATCATGATTTCAAAGAGGATGAGTCATTATTCAATAAATATTTCTGGAATTAATTGACTTTAATGGGAATTCCAGAATATTTTGTGCATCAAGACTTCATGATTCTGGGATTGAATTAATTTAATGAATTCAATATCTATAAATTCTTGAGACTCAGCTTCTTCTGGTATTTTACTGTAATTTATTGAATGAAGAATTGTTTAAACTCACCAGCTGGTGCAGGAGCTGCTGGTTTCATGAGAGAAGTGCTCACGAGGTTGTCCAGATTAACGAGAGCTGAATTCTCTCCCAAGAATGACTGGGGTGTCTTTTTGACAGCACCAGTGCTCGCTGGCAAGTTGTCACTTAGTCCACCAAGATCAAATGGATCCGGTGAGAGAGTTCCTCCTGAAAATTCCATAAAAAACCGTCGTTAGAATTTCCTTATTAAACAAATCAAGCTTCTTCTATTCGTGAATCCTATTTTTTTTTTTAAATTTTTTATTTAATTATTTTATTTGATTGACTTTCTATTTTCAAAAATAATAATTAATGAGGAAGCATTTGTTAATGTCGAAAATTTGAGAGCTCACCATTGTTCATTGGTTGAGGGCTAGCCCCAAGCTTATTCCGATTGCTGATGATGTCGAAGTCATCGAGATCACCGGAGGGACTCACATTACTGCTACCCTGTGTATTGAAAGTGTTAAAACTAGACCCGTTCATGTTTCCAGTAAATCCGGAGGTACTTGGTGATGACAGGGTTGTAGCTGAAGGAAGGGCCCACGGATCCACCGTGTGAGGAGGTGAAGTTACGGTTGCAGGGGATGGAGCTGGAGCTCGCCAAGGATCCACTGCTGCAGCTGCAAAATTAACATCTGATTCAAATTAGTCTACTCCACGTGCAAAATCTCGGAATCCAAAGGAGATACAGAAATTTTCATTATTACCTTTTTTGTAGAGCTAATCGAAAACTACAAAAAAGAAAATAATGAAAAATTCGGTATCCCCATTGGTTTTGGAGATATCCTTGAAGATGGTTTCACAGTCGGTATTAAATTGATGAAAATCCAAAATTTTCAGTTTCATTTTGGAAATCCGTGAATTTACCTGATGATCCTAGGGTTACACATGCGGTGAAAAAAAGAAACGAAAAGAAAATTCTGTATTTTGTATCTTGTTTCCTTCAATTATTCGTTTCAGTAACAATTGTAAACACTGAGAACAACAAAACTAAAAATAAAATTACTACTTCGCTCAAAAATACATAGCGAACTTGAAATTAAATCCAAAAACTTCAACACAGGACATTATATCATATAATTATTCCTCGAGGTATTCCCCACATGCTCACACCAATTTCCGGTCCAAAATTTTGATCCTCTTTATATTTCCAGTTGTTTCCGTTCAATTTTTTTTCGTAACACTCAATTAATTCCAAACTATTTATAAAATGTCGAGAAGATAAAAATTTTGAGAAAAAATTTTGAGTTGAAAAATTTCTGGAGTTTTGTGGAATGCCTCATGTAGAAGTATTTATAACTCAAATGATTTTTTTAGAAATTGTTCTGATAATGTTGAGAGTAAAATGGATTTCTTATAAAAACTGATCTTACTTGGACGTTGAGGAGGTACTGGAGCCCAGGGATCCGCTGGTTGGACCGTGGAACTCGTCGTGGGAGCACTCCAAGGATCAGAATTAGTCTGTAACAACAACTGCACTATCTAATCTGTACGATTGCAATTAGACTCGTCTAATTAAAATGAAAACTTGACGAAAAAAAAAACTATAAAAATATGGAGCATGCACATGCTCGTGCAGACGTACCTCGCAGTCGTAATAGCGAGATAGATCCAGAGACTGGCATGCAGGTGCAAGAGACAATTCAATTTATCATGCAATCAGTGATTTAATAGATTTTTTATGGTAATGGAGATGATCATGATGGGTTTACCTGAGGTCGAGGAGGTGGTGGAGCTATCGGCACACCCCATGGGTCAAGTGTTAGCTGCGGGGCTCCTCCACTAGCTTCACCTAGATTGACATCAAGAAGATCAAGCATGTGGCTTGCTTTTTCGGACGGCGGCGCTCTAAAAATTGCAGTAATCAACATAAATATTCAAATCTTCAGGAGAACTCTCAACAAAATTTAAAACATTCACGTACAATAATCAATCTGATCTACAATAAAAATAACTCACAATTATATGATAAAAAATGTTTTTATCTGATGGATCTCGACTTATTTTTTATTATTACAACTCGAAGGAACTGGAATTTTATTTAAACAATTGAGTTGAGGTATTCATATTTATTTAATTCAAACGACTCGAGTATTAATGATAATAGTGGAATTATTTGGGATAAAAGGAAATGAATAATTATTTAGGGTGAATATTTTCTTGGAGATTGACTCACTTGAAGTCTTGTTGACTCTGGCTCAATGCAAGCTGTAATCTAACGTCGTCACTGCGTCTCCTCTGCTCCTCTTGTTCAGCCTCTTCCCTTGACATTGCCAATGCCAATTGTAACTGCAACTCCTCCTCACCAACAGTCAGCGGCCGAGCTTTTTCTAGTTCGGCTGATCGTTATTGTATACATTGTGCAATAAAAATAAATAGCTAATTAAAAAAAAAAGAAAAGAAAACAAACCCAACAGCCTCTCACGTGACTCGAATCTATTTATCATAATCATTACAAAAAAGTAATTAACTCAAAGACACATGCGTTAAATTAAATTGATAAACGGAGATAAATAATTCAATCAAGGATAATGAAAATTATAAATTAATTTAATTTGTTTATCCTTACGTTTGGGGTCAGAATTTCCTCGGTAAGGCTCCCAATCTGGTGAACACATCTGAAATTAAATTGAAACATCAATTTAAAAATTCGTGAGACGTGCAATAATATTTTTTATTTCCAATATTTATTAATTATTCATCAATCAATTAATTCTGCAGTTCAGAAAAAATTTTGGATTTCTATCTTGAATTACAATAATAATTTATCGTGAGAGTATAATTGGTTTAACAAAATAAATGCAGGATTATTTGAATAAATGATAATTAATGAATTCAGATTGGGACTTACATCACCCAAGGATGTCATAGTGTCCATTCCATCACTTCCAAAACCACTGACAGATTGTGCAAATCTCTCTTTAGCTTTGAGGGCTTTAGCACGTTCATTCCGTAGTCTCTCATCATCTTTCAATAAGGCCACTAATTGTTTAGCTTTCTCCCGCACATTGATTCCCTGATCTTTGGGCCCCTCCATGTGCTGAAAATCCTTCAGCGTTTGAATAGCAAAAATGTTCTCTTTACACTGCTGCGCTACTTTTTCAGATCCTGTTTTTATTAAATAATCGAGTAAAACCAGAGCTTTGTAGACGTGTCGCCAATTTTTTCCATGATCATTCAGACGTTTCCACAGCATTTGCATTATTTCGGTAAAGGCCACTACGTTATACGTTAGATCAGCTATTTCTGCCATTATGGTACTGCTAGGGCCCCATGGGTCGTTGCTCGTCGCTTTTCGGACTAATTTCTGCAACAAATACCAAATATTTTATTTTAAAAACAATTTATTAAATATGTAATCACGTGATTTATCATAAATCAATCCACAAACAAAATAATCTATCTACTAACACTAACGAACTAACGACTAACAAACAAAATAAAGAAAAGTAGAAAAAGGTCGGAATATCTTTTAAACAAATAGAAAACAAAAAAAAGAGAAATTCTCAAAATAAATCATATTTTCGCAATTCTTATCGTTCGTCTTTAATTATCTACTGCTCCTCCAAACCGATAATTACATATTTTCGTTGCATAATTGAATTCTCAAAAGAGAAAATTATCTCCACTCGCTACATGATTATTATTAAAGTCAATTACTTCATTAGGGCCTGACTTTCACGTCATAATCGGTCACTGAGTCCATTCAATTTTAAATAATTTATTATTGTTGCACTGAGACTAAATTAATCTTTATTATTATTAATAATTAAATTATTTTTATTTATTGGAATGAGTGGAACGAGAAAAATATGAATTGTTCAAAACTATTTGTTTAAGAATGCGCAATAAAATTCCACTGGTGTTTCTCACCTGAGCATTGCTATAATTGTGAGCAAGATTCAGTATATCACGTCTGATTCCCGCCAGATTCACCTGCATGACATCCTGTCCTTGTCGTCGCATCTGTAAAAAACAATAAAAAATGCATAAATCAATGAATTCCTGCAATTATCCCCAACAACTCCAAACAAACCTTCACGAATTCAACTTAAAATGTATCTTCAATAAATCAGTGATACCGCAATCGAGAAGACAATTTAAATGCACATTATCAGACAAATACGATATTATCTTATCTGAGAGAATAAAAAAAAATTCTAATTGAAAAATCAGGACGATAATTAATTAGTATAGATAGTAATTGAATAGTCGATGAGATGATCTGGTGTTGAGTGAATTATTTGTCTTCCAAGGAGAATAAAATCCATATACTTGGGAATTCAGGGTCGATTCTCGTAGCAATCAATGTCAGCGATACAGGTCATTGTCATAAAATCTAAAATTTAATAAAACCGTTAACGATATTAAACAACAGGTACTCGGAAACACATGAAGTTTATTTTATATTTGCACGAGGAGTCGCAATCCACTCAGTGTAGGGCTTCCTCGTAGAGGTTTTAACAGCATTACCTTCAACTGACCATGAACCTATCGATCTCCTCTTCGTTCTCCAAATCCCTCGATTTTTATAAATAAACAATACTGATGAATTGTTTGTTTTTATTTAAAACAATGTTTATATTCCTCTTTCGGACTCCCCAGATTTCTCTGGGATTATAAAATTATTGGAACTGTAAAAGTGAAGGTCTTACTGATGTCAATATTCTAAGTAATCGCAATTGCGTGGTTGAATTTTTAAATTGTTTAAACAATTTAAAAATACTCATTGAATTATTTGTAAGGAATTATCGATTCCTAGTAGATGAATCCGGAGAATTCATGACAAATGACTTTTGAAATCGATTCGCCATTTTTTAGTTGTTACAATTTTTCTAATGATTTTATTGTTTCACTCAATTCACTGTTTTACTCCCGGATACCTCTTAATTGTGAATTAAAAAATTGATGAGTAATTCCAGGAAATTCAGATGACGTTTTGCGTCATGCTAATTTCTCTCCATTTACTGCTCTGAAAAGAATAGTCATTACGTAGTATTTATCATGATAATCATCGGATCTCTAAACTCGTAATTGTGAAACCAAAGAAACCTGAAAAATTGAAAAACAATTTACTGAAAACAATAATTAATAAAAAACTATTGAATCATTCAATTAAAATCGCAAACGACGAATAATTCAAAGAGAAAATTTCCGGCGATAATTTCCTAAAGAAAAATAAATCATTCCTAAAAAATTGGATGTCCCATTTGATAATTGTTGTTCCCATTCCCCGAAGTTGAAACGTTTCATAAAAATAGAATAATATTTAACAAACAATTTCAATTCACCTGATGATTCATTGTTCACGAAATAAGTGACAAATCCACTCTCAAAAAAATTTCCTAAACAGCAGTACATGAGTAATCGACCTTTGTCTCATTGTCTCGAAGACGTCTCGAACAGTAGAAATAAATAAACTCCAGTAAATTTATTCTTCGGGTGAATAAAACCAGAACAATTCCCCAACGCCACCCAAAACTGTTAAAAACCCCCCAAAAAAATCCGGAAAAAATTCCGAAAAAACAATTCGCTGATGCGATATCAGGAAAGTTGACGTGTCGTCACTCCTGATGACGATATGCCCTCGGAGTGTCTTCGAGTATTTTCCAACAGGTTTTTATCTCAGCTCCTTGGTGAACCCAGAGGAAGTCCAATAAATAAAATAAATTAGAGGTAAGAGGAGTGAAGGTACTCGCCACCCACACATTGTACAGAAGAAAACGAAAAAAACCAGGAGAGGATGAAGAAATGATAAAATAGAATAATAAATCCAAGGGCATTGGACTCTGGGGGATATTTTCCTCGTCTGATTCTTGGGATGTTTGTCTCGAGTATCTCACCATCAGTAAAAAAATGAACGGTATCTGTTAAACTTGTAACTCACCTTTGGGATTATTTCAATATCTACTTTGATTAACTCCGAGTTGATGAATATTTCAAATTGTTGATTTAGGTGATAAGTTTTTTTGATAATAACGCGAATATAAAATTTTAATTCGATGTTTTTTTGTATAAAATAATAACACGGGACTATGACAAGCCCATTCACTCCTTCACGGATTTACTTGTGGAGAGAGAGACAGGGAGAGAATTAATGAGACTTGAGTCAAGATGGCGCTGGGATTTTTCCTGAATAAATTCACTCTAATTCGCTGAAAAATGAGCATAAATCTCTCCTATTGGACGATAATTCACACATTAAATCCATAAAAACCAATGAGAAACCAGAAATTCTCGTGGACCTCAAACCCCATTGGCCCCCAATTATCTGCGTCACGAAAATTTGAATTCTCTATTTTACCGATTGACAATTACAAAAAAACACTAATGGAAAATTATCGTCAGCTGTTGTACGTAATCATAATTATTATCACTAAAAAAATTGCAATGATTGCATTATTGCAATGATATTATGAAAAATGAGTGCTGGAGAGTTTCTGTATTTTTTATTTATCTATTGAAAATAGAATTTTCGATTTTTGCATGACCGACTGGTGAAAATCTAGAAAAAAAATTGTTTATTTATTCTGGGATCAAAGGTGTATTATTATGATAAATTATTTAATTTTATATCTGGGAGTTTTACGGGTCTTTTCAAGAATTATTTGGCATGATTAATTGGATTAATTGTTAATTATTTATTAGGGCACTTGATTTCCGCGGAACGCCATTGCGCGGTTGTGTTTTGGTCTTAAATAAAAATGGCTGACCTCGGTATATTGGCAAGATACCGTAGATTATTAGTGAATATTGGATTGATAAGTAAATCCACCGGCAATTGTAAACAGCCAAATAATTAATCCGCTAATGATCGCTATTAATCTGAATAATATGTTAACAGTGGCTGAAGAGTGATTGTTAATTGAAGAAAATAAACATTCTATCGAGAAAATATTTCCCTCGGCGTGACGGACTCACATAGACACACACGAATAAAAGAACATTGAACCACAAAGTGAAAATAATCAGACAAATTTTAGTGATTACGAGGTAATTGATCGTTATTGAAAATTTCATAAATTAGTGTTTGATTATTTTTTTAATGAAATCAAGATATTGGTGAATCGATCCCGGTAAATAGACTGCATTCATCGGCATCTTCCACGTCGCTAGGTTATAGTTCATCAGGACCATCAAATGTTGATGATGAGACAACAATTGTTGTTGATTTTTGTTGAACAATCGGCAGGAAGTCTTCATCGAGGTTTTTAGAGGTTATTCCTGTTGGAGATATGGCTAATGTCGATTTTGATTCGGAGCTCTTCGAGAAGAAGCTTCATACTCTCAAAGACTCTCAGGAGTCCATACAGAGTTTATCTTCGTGGTGTCTCGAGAGACGAGAGCATCACAAGAAAATTGTTGCCACTTGGTTGCAAGTGCTGAAGAAGGGTGAGGACAATCTCTTAATAATTTTAAAATACCCAGAAAATATTAATATCTTTATTAACGTAAAGTTTATTTTTAATGTTTAATAAATCTCTCTGGGCTCTCCCTTTTTGCTAAATCCCTCAAATTTCTTCTGTCAGATTTTTTGTATTCGCTTTTTTAATTGTTGAAGTTTTTTTATACAGATTGTTTAAACTCTGGAGAAAATGCGTATGGAAATTAAAAAGTGATGGACGAATTCGCTCAATATTTCTCATTAGATAATGTTCTTTGGATCAATTAAGCCATAATTAATTATGAAGAAAGCGAGAATTTAATTTCGAAGTAGTGTAACTGATTTTATCCATCCGTTTATATTTTTCTGGAATTTTCCTCCTCAGTAAAAGTCGAGCACAGGCTGACGCTGTTCTACCTCGCGAACGATGTGATCCAGTACTCAAAACGAAAAAACTACGAGTTCGTGGAGTCCTGGGGGACGACTCTACAACGAGCTACGACGATGGTCCGAGACGAGAAAGTGAAACACCGAATCCTGCGAATCTTCAAAATATGGGAGCAGAGGCAAGTCTACGACGAGGAGTTCCTCACAGACCTCTCAGGCCTCATATCAGCAGCTCCAAAGAAAAAAATCGATCCTCAACCGATCAACGTCCCCGAGGAATTTCAGGCTGCTCTCCTGATCTCCACTATGCGATCCTGCTCGACCCTGGAGACAGCGACTGACGCTCGTCTGAAAGATCTTCGAGACAGTAACATCGATATTGACAACGCGGAGGAGCTCTGCGCCTCCTTGAAAGACCGGAGAAGAGTCGAGGACGCCGAGAAGGAAGTGGAAACAGCTGTTAGAAATATCGAGAATTACGTTCGCGCCCTGGAGGCTGAGATTCGAGAACGAGCACAAGTTCTGGAGTTGTTGGAACAAGCTGATCAGTTCTACGAGACCCAGAGGGGCGAAGTCAAGATCGTCACCAATGCTTACAGAAATTTTGGCAGCAGAGTAAAGAACCTGAAGAAGAAGCTGGATGAACTCCTGCCAACGTTGACCTCTCCAATTCCATCACCAGACGTCAATGCACCATCACCCAGTCCTGACAGTGACATTGAACTCCCTGGAGACGATCAGAACATGAGTTCAGTACTGGAGGTGGTGCCACCATCGATGTATGGATCCTACAGTCAGGATTACGAGCCCATGCCAGTGCCAGCTCCTGATTCCTCCCAGGGGAACAGTTCCAATGACTTTACGAGCAATTTCTCGTCGTTTATTGGTGGAAATATGGACTTTGACATGCGGAGTCTGTTTAACGAGAAATCCCCTGGGGGCAGTCAGATTTATAATGAGGCTATGCCCATTGAAGTCATCAATATGAGACCCTCTAAGGTGGCACCTGGTGAGGAGTTCTCCTCGGGGAATTTTCTCAAAGTTCCTGAGGCAAACAGAGCCACGAGTTCTGGAGGAATTCCTGGGTTGGGCCTTGATGTTCCTGAACCGAGGACAGAGTCACCTCAGAGACCGGATTATGCGCATCTGGAGAGACAAGTTGGGACTACTACTCCCCGGATGATTGGGGCACAGGGAGAGAGGATTACCCACAGCACACCCTTGGCGCATGGAGCTGGATATTCCAGGGAGAAGACACCCTTTGAGGAAGGCGGTGGTACTGCTAATCCTTTGCCACCTCCACCACTTCCTCCACCCATATTCCTGGAGGAGGACGGGTGCTACAATAAATTGCCACCGAAATTTCCCACCTGGACACCAGCTAATGACGGAGCCAAGGAGGAGATCAAGTGGCAGACAGGTGAATTTTTAATTCTCATTTTATCTCTCATTCATTTTTTATCTTTAATTACCAGTGGAAATATTTTATGTCCTTATGATTCGATTGTGTAGAGAATCATTTCAATTGCTCATCAGTTTTTTCCAATTGTCATAACGAAATTATTGCAACAATATTTCTGGTACAGCGGAATTGTATGAATTATGTATAAATTAATGATGTTAATTATTTGAGTCTAATGACTTAATGAATAATCATGATTTATGAGAATTTAGTGGAATCTGGCTGATTGTTTTGACTATTGAGTTGTTAAAAAATTATTGTTTTAATTTTCAGGAAAAAATTCCTGGTCTAACGACAATGGAGAAAGCGAGCGTTGGGAGTCCCCGAGTGAGCCAACCTGGTCAAATGGTATGAGAGGCAAGCCTAATCTGTCAGAGACACCGGAATCACCTCCGATATACGAAAAATCGAGCTTCAGAGATCCTGTGCAATACAACGATCCCCAAACGCAGGAGCCCATACTCAGCAGTGCTGCTGATGTAGATCACAGGGTTATACCACTTCCTATGCCTCCTGATGGTCATCTTCCTCATCGTTTGATGAAAGGAGCTGATGTCGATCATCGGAATCTCATCAGTTTAACCGGTAGTCCAGCAAATAATTCTGCTAATTCCAACGAATCACAAACACCAGGCAGTAATAATTTGTGGAGCAGTACTGATCAAGATTACAGGTAATTAAAAAAGAAATCGATAGAGGAGAATTAATAATGAACAGATGCAAATTAATAATTGAATATTTATGCAACAATAATGATTTTTATTATTTTTCAGACGACAAATTCAACCTGGGGATATAGTAGAATCGGTAGATATGGAGATGTCGGACGAGGAAACGGATTCGAAGCAAAAAAATCGAATTCTGGTGGACGTTCGTACTCAAGATCGTGACATGAGACCAGGTCCCCCTCATCATTTGGACATGGACATGCGAGTGATTCCCCTGCCCTCTCCCATACCACGAAATCACCCACCGGACATTCGAAACATGCATCCAGGTCCACCACTCCCACCTCTACCACCTTTCCGGCAAAATCACCCAGATTTTCCCCCTAATCACCCGAATTTCCGAGGTAACCTCAGCCTCCCACCCAATTTTCTCCCTCCACAGCCCGACTTTTCCCCCGATTTTCACCCAAATCGACCGGACATGTACGATTTTCAGGAGAATCAACGTCCAGACTTCCACGATGATCGTAGATTTTCCCTCGATCATTTACCACATCACCAACAACATCACAGAGACTCTCCAATGTTCGTGAGGGGTAGAGGACGTCCATTTCCTCGTGGACGCCGTGATAGATTTCCAGAAATACCACAAAATCGTCGTCACAGGCCACAGGACACCCTAGATCTCCATCAAGAGCCACCACCTGGCAGACTATCAGTCCTTCAGCCACCTGAGACTGTAGTAATCCTGGATGACAATGGAATGCCAATAATGCCAAGTCAAGATGATCCTCGTGTTCCCGAAGAGATAATAAATAAAGACAATGAAACACCAGGTGTTCAATCAGTTGAATCAGCATCACCCAAGGATTCCAAAGTATCTCACAATGATCCTGAGGGTGAGAAAGACCCAGAGCTACCCGGAGACAGCGAAGAAATTGCTAGTGAAGAGAGATCGCAGGAGGGCTCATTAACACGTGCTGATGAGCCTCCTAAGAACCTCTCAGAACACCTGGAGGCACTGATGAACTCAGGAAAGACTGCTGGGGTCAATGATCTCAAAAGACAAGCGTCCAATGGAATTCTCGAGCAGATGGATGAGGACAGGACGTCTCCCACGAGGAAGAGGGTTTTTATGCCTAATAATGGGCCTCCAGAGCTGCATCCCATTCTTGTTTATGACTACGAGGTTCAGCATGGCAATCCTAATTTTAGGCCGAGACTGCCTGCACCTGTATCTCCAGCTGCTGTGAGCCCTTTTGCTCCCTGGAGGGGCCCTGGACCTATGCAGAGGGGCCGAGGGGGATTCAGAGGATCGCCAAGAGCACCCTGGATGGACAGAGGACCCAGGGGACCTCCTAATAATTTTTCACCAAGAGGTGGCAAACGAGGGAGTCCTTTCAGGGGGAATAATAATGGGAATGGTGGATTCAGGGGGAGGGGGAGGGCTGGTAATTGGTAAATTTTAAGCTCCGGTGAAGTGGTGGATAGGAATTCATTCAGGTGGGGGGTGGTGGAGTATAATACAGTCAATGAAATCATCTACATCTTTTTGAATGCTTTGTTATATCTGCAGTGAAGTGGGAATTAGGATGAGTGATGCTTTTCAAGGCCAGTTTTTAACGAATATCTCGGTGTTCAAGGGAGATGGGATAATTTTTGAATAGAGATCTTTTGTGGAGAAAAAGGAGAGCTAGAAAAAAGGTATCTGTGAAAATAGCACTAGCTTTTCGTAATTCCACGGTATTTGAGGAAAACTGCACTCGAAAAAAAGCACTTTCACTGTTTTATCACTTCGATACGGATTTTAAGGTCATCTGTCTGGGGAATGATTTCGAGAGTTATTGTTGATTTATTCTTCGGAACTCTCGATATTTGTAAATAGTCATCTGTCTTGCGGATGAATGAATAATTAAGAATAATGCTGTAATGAATTCATTATTTGCCGATTAATTACGGAATTTTATATTGAATATAAAATGATTTCAGGAGTCAAAGGGTTTTGAATAAAATATCAAATTAATTTTATAAGCTACACATATTTTCGTGGGTTCTGCTCAGTCATTTTACGAATTAAATTCAGATTCCACCAGTTTAATATCGAAATTATTGACTATCACCACTTCACTAGAATGGTGAGAACTGGTTGGTGGCTGGAGTGTGAGGGAGCAGTGCTCTTCATCGTAGTTTAGGTCTTGTAAATAATTATAAGTAGATGAAGAATTCGAGTTATAAGAATTTTGTCATTTAATGATTGAAATTAATTGTAAGATATTTCGAGAATTCTTCAGATACATGCGTACAAAATTCTGTCAGTGCGGGCTGTTTTTTTTTTGGAGCTTGACATTTCTTTTTCTTTTCTGCGAGTATTCCTGGATTATTACAAGTACTGAACATTGAAGAAGAATATGTAATTTAATACCCACTTGAGTGATGATTCATGCCTTTCATTGAAAATCGCTGATATTTTCCTCTAGCTCCTGTATAATTAAAAAAATCATAATTAATAAAGTGATAGAGCTAAAGAGATCTACTTGACGTCATAATCAATTATGAAAAATATTTGCAGATTAATAGAATATAGTTCTAGGATTTTTATTCATCTGTTTAAGATCTCATTCAGAAATAAGTTATGAATTTTTCCATTCCGTTGATCTAGAATAAATAACTGATCAGTGGAGATTTAATTACAGATTCAGACAATTGTAACAATCAACTCCAGAGTTATCTCAAGAAAATTGATAAGAAGCATTTAACGTTTTTAATTCATGAATACTCAAAGAATTGTAAAACGAAATGAGAAAAAATTGTTTCACACGATTAAAAACAGTGAAGCGACCAATTTCGAGTATACATGTGATTATATAAATAATGAGAGGTGTTCACGTCAAGAAGATATTGAGAAATTTTATTATGAATAATTAGTTCATTGAAATAAATTTCCCAGTGACCGAGGCTGACGTTTAATACGTGAGAAATCTGCAATAAATGATTATAAAAGGAAAAGTTATTTAAAAAATTGACATGACCTGGGTATGACACGATTATTTTTCGTTCGCCTCGGAAATCTCTCATTGAGAACGAAGAAAGGGGAGGGAGGGGGATTGGGAGAGTGAGAAATAAATGGAGAAAAGGAACTGAGCTGGAAATTTCATTTTTCCTCCTTCAGAAATGAACAACACCATTAATATTGTTGACATGCAAATGAGAAATTATTTTCAATTTATTTTATTCTGTTCGTCTCTTCGTCACCACTCGCATTTGCATTTTCTTATCGTTTTTCTTTTCTTTTATCTCATAGAATGATTTATTAAAACACAGGGATGTCGTATTGAAAAAAATTGTGTCAATAAAATGTAAAAATATTTCCTCTCCAATGGCGTGCACTTCCCCTTATTCCGATGAATAAATATAATAAAGAGATTTTTCGTGAAAGAGGGAAAGAGATTTGATTTGAAAGAGATCATTGGATAAATTTCCTTGGAGATTATTTCGTAAATTTGGATTGAAGAATAAAATGTTTTTATATTTATCTTTAATCCAATTGTTACTGAAATTATCGATGGAGTAAAGTAATGAATATAAAGTTCAATTGCACGTGAATTATTCTTAAATATCTCAGGAACTGAAAATTTACGGAGAAAACTGATAAAATTATTTGTAGTGCATAAAATTTTAATATGAAAAAAATTCTCACATTTTTTTCTGTCTGAACCCATAATTTTTTTTATTTCTCTTCATGTGTGAAAGAAAATAAAAGAATTATTGATCCGAAATATTTCGCAACATCAAATCCACCGAATGACGATTATAAATTTGTAATTGCCTTGAAAAATTACTTAACAATAATTAAAATCGATGTATGCATCATAAAAAATTGAAATCAATTATTTAAAAAATTTTTGCTGCTTCTGAAACTAATTGAAATTGTAAATTGTAATATAAATAAATTTGCAATGTACAATTTCTCGATAATTTTTATCAATCCGAGATTTCCAGAGATATTTGCAGAGTAATTACTGAACAAATCTTGAATTCTTCAATTTTATTACTTATGTAATAATTAATTGAATGATCTCTTTCTTTAAATCAAGTCTCTACTTTATTCTAGTAGAACCCCGAGCTTCTGGATTATAACAACCCCTCGACAATTCTCTCACCGAGAATCTGTCAATATACGACCCCCGCCCCCTCGTTAGAGTGTTTACTAGCGCGTAAATAATATATATTAGTATCGAGTCCCAAGGATGCGATTTGAACTGGCTGTGATAACGTAAAATGTACTAAAAAAAATAATTATATTACTCGGGAGTTGCTTCGACATTTCGGTACAGTTTCCCCTTCAGTGATAAATTTATAGATCATTAAAGAGGCTATCAAAAATAGGGGCATGAAAACCTTTTAATTATTTTAATTACGAAGAAGAAATTAACTTCAAAGATAAATTTAACCGCAAAATTATAAACTAGGAAAAATCCAGTTTTTTTTATGTTCATTTTTTGCGGATATCTCGGAAATGAACGAGTATATCGATTTTTTTGTCTGAACATTTTTTATGGAAAAAGATGAGAGCTAGAAAAAAGGTAGATATGAAAATCTCGATATCTTCCTTCAATTCCGAGATATTTACTGAAAACTGGTCTTGGAAGAAATTAATTTATTGTAGTTTATAATTTTGCGATAGATTTAACATTTTTTATTGTTGTTCTTGGTGGATTGTTGGGATTCATGAGGACCTGGTGAATTTTTCTGATTCATCAAGGATCTTTCGGTTCGATTAACGCAGTATCCCGCGTTCTATTGAATTGTTAATTAACGCGGAGTCCAGAGCACTGAATTCATTTCGTTAATTAACAATCACCACCTGTCAACGTCACGTGTGTTTTTTCTAGTCAAAATGGCAACACCTGGTTTTCCCTCGTGAATATCCAACAGACAATTCCAATTGAACTCTACATTGCTCGAAAATTATAAATCTTCTCTTGAAAATTAATTTTTTTTTACGAATTCGTCTCAGTACTGAGTAATAATGAGAAAATGTCAATTTTTCCCTTCCAATCTTTTTTTATAAAAAAACTCGGACCGATCAATCCAAAAGTTTTAAAAATATTAATAAACAATAACAATAAATTTCGGTTTGCATATTTTAAATAAAAAAATGTTTCAAGGGGATTAATTATTTATTTATAGGAATTTCGTTGTAAAAAATATTGAAAATCAATTGTTTTTAGATGAATTTATTAATTGCGAGATATTTCTGCTGTAATTTGTATAGATTTAATTTTTTTTTTACAATTGTTTTTAATAACGCGATATTCGGGATTATTCTGTAAGACAGATTAATCTTAAAAGTTTTAAATAATTATTTGAAAAGTCTCGACATTTTCTCTTAAAATTACACTTTACTGAAATAAAAAAATGAACAAGTGATTTATTTCGCTGAGTAAAATATCGCGCAGGCGCTTCTCCCATTTTTCAATGAATTTTTTCTCATTTCCTCGGTGAAATTTGAAGTTCCATGGAAGTGTGATGACGTATGCGTGATAATTAGCGCACAAATTGAATTAATTGTAAGACAGAATGTGAAATGCACTGCATACTATGTATGCGAGAAGATGAAAATGTTTTTTGTACATTTGATTAATAAAATTGTATCTTGAGGATGATGATGATGATTGCTATCTTCTGTATTATGCAACTACCAATTTACTATTTGTTGTTGTCACTGGGGTAAACATTTTATTATTCATTCCAGAGGGGGAAATCCAATGGGTTTGCGTGAGGGCTTCGATTTTTTTACACACCTCTTACTTCATCGTCAACCCCTTGAATCGCATGAGAGGAAAATGTATAATGTTGAAAGCGTTGCCTGGTTACCCTGGACACAGGTCACGCGCATGATTCGCTTTATTATAATTACTCTAATTATCTTAACGCATTCCTGATGAGAATTTCCTTCGACCCCCGTTTTTCCGCAATATCTCAAAACCGAAGGAAGATAATGATATTTACATGAATACCTTTTCCGTAGATCTTGAAAATCTCCACGGAAAATCTCTTCTCAAAAATCTCGCTATCTTCCTTCCATTCCGAGATATCGCCTAAAAACGGATGTTTAAAAAAAATCCAGTTGTCCTAGTTCATTACTTTAATACAGAATTAATAAATAATTCCACATGGAGCTAATTAAAAATATTAAAACATTAAAAGTCGATTAATTTACCAGTAATCTCCTGAATTTATTTATATAAAACAGAATTATTAATAATCTGGAGAAACCATTAGAGAATTTTCGCAATTAGAAAAAATCGTCTGGAGAAAACAGAGTGAAAGTTTAACTTTATTTATTTATTTACCCATGAAATAATTATTCAATATTCATGATGGAAGTGGTAGCGATCCGAATCGACTAATCGAAGCAAGTGGTTCCTTTGATCCCCTCGCTATTTAATTAATTAATTACAGAATGTGAATCAACCATTTAATTTCCACAATTTGTAATCACTCCCCTCATTAATTGTTCCCTCCTCAATTTATCCCCACAATTTTCTACTCCATACCCCACATCGAGATTGTTCTATAAATTAAAAATAGTCGAACCAATCCCAATGGATTTATAATAATAATAATAATAAATAATAATCCCAATAATATCCCAATAATTTTCAAATAATTTCGAAAGATTGACTCCCATTATGTTTTTAAAATTCCTGATAAACTAATTAGAAACCGAATTGATTACAACAAATTAATAATACCTATACATGAATCATTAATTAATACCTATCAATTATTAATTAATATATCCGATAGTAATTGATAATAATAAATTGATAAAATCCACTTGATTCAATTCTATTGATTTTAATTTGAATTTAAAGTTCAGTCAATCCCAAAATATATCGATTTCAATTACAATATAATATTGGAATAATTATAATTTTTTTAAATATTCCATTGCGATATTATTAAATAATTGTAGAAAAAAAAATTTTGAAAAATCGATTGTTTATGGACTCAAGTGGTTGAACCCCTGGCGCTAGGGTGTTGTCCTTCAGCTGTCAACTGTCATAAAATTAATGTCACGAAATCACGCTGCGTTACAAGAACAACAATTTTGATAAAAGCTCAACAGAGAAAAATATGAGACGTGAAAATTTTTCTAGGTGAATTTAACAGTAGGTTTTACTGGAGGCGGATTGGCCTCTGGTGGGTCGATAGAGCCCTCCTCCCGTCCTCTTCTCTAGTTTCCCCTCTTTCCCATTATATCCCTTCTCGTCTCCAATCCAACTCTAGTGAGCATGCCACATTCAGAAGTAAACCGTCTGTCAGTGGCCTCTCAGTACTGCTCAAGTAATTATCAAAAAACCTTTTTGTTTAATCCTAAGCACGAATTATTTATCAATACCTTTCGTTTATCTTTCAATTATCTGACAATTTAATCATTTCTGATATTTAAATCAGTGGAATCAGTGGAATCAGTGGAATCAGTGGAAATAGTGCAGACAGTGCAGACGTGCAGACGTGCAGATGTGCAGATGTGCAGACGTGCAGACGTGTGATTAAAAAAAATAATCTCCCATCTCTAAATCATAAATCATAATCCCAGTCTCTTGATCAGTTCCCCAGATCATCGACTACTCACTCATCAAATTAATTTATAATTAAATAATTATTGGATTGGGAGATTCAGTGGAGGGACACAGAGGAATAAAATAATGTGAGTATTTTTTTTTCTAGGTTGTTTGTATTTTTTAATGTTAAGATTTCTTGTTATTCATTTCTTGTTATTGTTATTCATTGAAGAGTCTCACTGATATTCAGAATGTTAATACAATCTCATTGCAAATAAGTGCAGAGTGCATGTACATTGATTACGGGTAGAGTACGTGAATAAATAAATTGATGATAAAGGGTGGTACCATTCTGGGTGGTTGTGGGCGATGGTTGATTCATTATTTAACAAGACCGTGGATTTGTTATAGTTGTGGGGAGAGAATAACGGTGGAAAGAGGTTTCAGGGACTCTTCCTGAGATAAGAAAGCTTTCATAAGTTTATGGACAACTTTTGTTGAGACGCGAGTCGATCTGACGTTTTGCTATTTCGGAATTTATTTATTTATTCATTGGGAGAACGAATAAATTATTGGCGGGAATATCATAATTGTTTTAAATTTTGAAATGATTTTGAGGCGATAACAGATGCCGGTATAAAATTTGAGATTGATTTGTAAAATATTTAATAATTATTATATTAATAATCATTATTAATATTTATTAT